GAGAAGCTCTTCTAGAGAGAAAATACTGAGTACAGTTCTGAACATCTTGAAATGATGGAAGGATAAACAAGTGACAATATCCAGTAGGGATGTGGAACAAGAAAACTGTCGCAAAGTTTCTTTTAAGGACCAAAACATAGTCTTGCAAGTCTCTGTGACAGAAGTACTAACTGAAACTATCAGTGAATCGACTCACCAACTAAAACAATGCAGAGAGACAGAGGGGAGCAAGAGTGAGAAATGAAGGGACAGCATCCTGGCACACACCTGTAGTTAAGGGGGTTGGGGAAGACAAGGACACAGCACAGAGATCTGGAAGAAATTCAGAAGATCACTGTAGCAACACTGAAGTCAAGGAAATCGTTCTCCAGTTTGTGTCCATGAGTAGGTGTCTGTGATAACTGCTTTGTAACGGTACAGATTATAAATAACAGTCCGTGGGCAGCAACAGAAAAACAACACATAGGTTTTCAGTGCGGCTGGGTCTGTCTGGACCTGCCCACCAGTGGTTTGGGGATCTACTTTGTTCAGACTAGAGAACACCCACACAAAATTTCCTCTGGATGGCAACCCAGCACAACATGTCTTCCACCTCTTCACACTGACTTCGCTTCGCCTCCTCTCTTCTCCAAACATAGGCTGGGTGATTACACCCTCTTTGTGTCAAAACAGCACACTTGCAATCATTTTATGGCACCCACATTCTTCTATTTTAATCTTTAAGATTTTATAAGGTGAAATGGTCTTTGCAATTGTTATCCTGTGTTAATTTTCTTTTTCTTATCAACACCTCAAAATTCCTTTCTTCTAGTTTGTTTTTGCTCTGTTGGTTAAACCAGCATTTCCCAATTGGTGTACTACAGACTTCTTCAGGGGTAAGGTGGGGAATGTTACTGCAATTGACTGAATCTCTTTGGTAATAGTTCCCTTGTCTCTCCCTTAGGCTTACCACAGAGCAGTAGGAATTGCTTAGCTACACAGTGTCATTTAGCAATAGAGATCACTAACTTTTGACCTCAAAGAGCACTTAAGATACTAAATTCATAAAAAATTTAGTAATCACACTACAAATGATCTGTGTGACCGCTATTTTTACCTTTCTGTAAATCAAATTTATTAAACATGACCTTCCTCAATTACCCATTTTATTTGTTTAGAAACTGAGATACAATCATTCCTACAGAAAAGTGAATAAAACGGCACGTATGTACAGTTTATTTAAAGAATAATTATAAAGCGAAAACTCAGGTCCATAAATAGTACATTCTCCATCTCCACATCCCAGGATTTCCCCCCATATGCCCCTCCCTGATCATATCTCCTTTCTCACCCTAGAGAGAAACATCTGTGATAATCGTTTCTTTCCTTTTCGTTATAGTTTTACTACTTATGACTGTATTTTAAACAACATAGTAGAGTTGTACCTGTTTTTTAACTTTATGTAAGAGGAAACATTCTGTATTCTTTGGTTGTCTCAGTATGGCAATTCACCATGTTATTGTAAATAATCATTTGTTTCTCTTTGTTGCTGTATTATATTTCACAGTATGACTATAACATAATTTATCCATTCTATTGTTGATCCAAGTTTAGGTTGTATAATGGTTTCAGCTATTACAAAAATGCACACGTACAGGAAATTTAGTAGAAATGCTGAGTCACAGTGAATGTATGTCTTCAATCTTACTAGATAATGCCACATTTCCCTAAGTGATTGTATCAATTTATGCTACTCCAGTGTATGCAGATATTCCTTGCTTCTTCCTTAAAACTTGTTTCTGTCAGACTTTTAAATTGTTTTTTGATCTGGTAGGTGTCTAATAGTATTGCATTATGATTTTCATGTTCATTTCTTTAGTTACTAATGAGAATGTTGGTCTTCTCCTATATTAGTCATTTGCATTTGGTGCTGTGCCTGTTTAAGCTTTTTGTTTATTTTCAAAATGGGCAAGTCTATTTCTTATTGATTTGTGTTATTTGCATATTTTGGGTACTCATTCTTTTTCATTCACTTCATGGTATTTAGTAAACAAAAGTCCATTACTTTTATGTAGCCCAAAATTTTTCTTTATGTAATACACCATTTTATAATTATTGAACTTTTCCTTTATAGCTAAAAATAATTCCTCTTAATCTAAGTCATAAAGATATTTTCTTGTATAGGTCCACATAACTTATCTGAAATCCTTGGAGCAAGATATTTGAAATACAGACTATTTTAAATATTAGAAGGGTAGTATGAAACATACAACATATGTTGTATAACATTCTTGACAAGAATTGGTACAGTACCTGTAATGAAATACATTAACATTTCTACAGAAAAAAACATATGCATTTATGTGATAATGTTAGTCACAACTATAAAGAGACTCACGTAACTTTAAGTCATATTTTTCACCAAATGAGTTCCAAAGTGCTTGGCGTTTCAGAGGTTTGGGGATTTTATAATTAGTACAAAATTTATGGTACCCTTATTCAGTAAGAATGGAATTATTTCAAAGTTTGTAGAAACTTACTGGTGGAGCCATGTACCTGGGATTTGTGTGTATGAAGATTCTTCACTGCTCATTCAAAGCATTTAATGGTTTCTCTACTTTTGAGTCGATTACTTGTTTTTCTTGAAATTTGTACACATTTAAATTTTACTTACATTCACTTTTTTATAAGATTATCTAACTTTTTTGATGTCTATAGTATTTCTAGTTTCCATTCTTGATAAAGATTGTTGACATCCCTCCTTTTATTGCTATTAGATGTTTGCCAATTTTAATTAGTTTTTTCCAAAAAAATCAACTTTTGTTTCTTTCAACCTATTCTATGTTGTGGAGTGCTAGTGAATTGGCTCCAACATAAAACAAAATCCTGGCTTGTTTGTTGATTTCCATAGTGTAAACAGTCCCATCATGGGTAACTTCAAGCTACTTTTTGATGCTATTGATCACGGAGTTGGCAAGAGGTATGCACAGTTGGCTCTCCCACACCAGTACAGGCTGGCTCTGTTACACCACTGCTTTTATTTTCCATTTCATTCATTTCTGCTGCTAACATTATTTCTGTCCTATTTTTGCTCTCCTTTCTCTAACTTCTTGAAAAGGAGTGTTTAGCTCAAGACTTTTCAGACTCTTCTAATATACTTACTTACGACTGTAAATGTCCCTCTAAGTGCTGCTTTAGCTTCATCCCACAGGTGTTGCTATTGTATTTTGTGGGTCGGTTCAAAATATTTTCTCATTACCATTGACTCTGTCTCTGTGTTATTTGGACTTGTTTTTACAGTTCTTTATTGATTTCTATCTTAAATGCACTGTGGTAAAAAATGTGAATTACTTTAATTTTCCGTTGCTTTATAGCTAAATATGTGGTTGATTGTGATGATGTGTCTGCCTTTAAAAAACTACATTCTGATTTTTGGTCATGTTGTTCTGTATGTATTAATTGCATCGTTTTACACCATGTTATTCACATCTTCTATGTCCTTAATTTTTCTCTTGCTAGTCTTAACAATTACTGAGAAAGGCCTATAAAAGTTACTCAATATGACCATGCATTTTTTTCTTTGTAATTCTGTCGTTTCACTTTGTATCATACATAGTTTTCATTAGGTATATATAAATTTAAAACACATTTCTTTTTTAGACTCAGCAGTCGTCTAAGACTCTTTCCTTTTATTCCTTTTACATCCCATCAGTCATATTTAAAAGATACCTCTGAAAACTGACGTCAACAGACATAATGTAAAAGAAGTGGGTGGCTGTGGTAAAACTAAAGTAAATCCACTATGAGAGTCCATTAACTACGAGGGAAATATTTTCTGTATTGCAGAACACATATTTGGTGGGACTTAGCTTCACAGAGCCACCCTGAAAAGGCTGCATATGTTGAATTTGGAATGGATCAAACTGCACTGAGTGTAAATGGTAAATTGCTTATCTTCTATCTAGATGATGGAGCAGATGGAATCTATTGGGAACGAGGTGCCAGATGACTGACCACAAACATGCTTTTTAATAAAGATTTTGCTGAGATACTAACTCATATGTTTTTAAATTTTTCTTTCCTTCTTTTTTTTTTTTTTTTTTTTTTGAGACGGAGTTTTGCTCGTTACCCAGGCTGGAGTGCAATGGCGCGATCTCGGCTCACCGCAACCTCCGCCTCCTGGGTTCAGGCAATTCTCCTGCCTCAGCCTCCTGAGTAGCTGGGATTACAGGCACGCGCCACCGTGCCCAGCTAATTTTTTGTATTTTTAGTAGAGACGGGGTTTCACCATGTTGACCAGGATGGTCTCGATCTCTTGACCTCGTGATCCACCCGCCTCGGCCTCCCAAAGTGCTGGGATTACAGGCTTGAGCCACCGCGCCCGGCCCAAAAATTTTTTTCTAAAATATTAACTGACATATTAAAAATAACGTCTGAAAACATTTGAAGCAGCCCTTTTTATCCCCTTTTAAAATATCTTGCTGTTTCGGGGCGTAAAAAAAGCCACAAGGGAGATTAAAACAATACAAATATTTATTTTCCCAACTCCCCTGACCAATTCGCACTTCCCTGGCTGTACTTCACTGGGTTCTCAGCCTGGACAACTCATTTGCCATGGGGCTCTGAGACGTCACCGCCTCATTCTGGGGCCCGTTTCGCCCTTTTATTTTAATCCAGGAAGCGATGGTGGCATGCGCCTGTAGTCCAAGCTACCTGGGAGGTTGAGGTGGGAGGATCGTTTGGGGCCAGGAGTTTGAGGCTGCGGTAAGGCGTGTTCTCACCACTGCCCTCAAGCTTGAGCGGCAAAGCGAGACCCTGTATCGAAATCAAAACAAAACGAGAAGGCATCGCGGCTCTGTAACATTCCGTCCAGCTCTCGCACCCACAGTGCAAACTTCCAGACAAAACTCTCGGCTCGCCTTGTCTCGCGGGGCTCCCGGGCGACGCTGTGCCATAAATGTGCATATACCCTCCTTGCCCTTGAAGGCCGGAAGTCAGTTTTACAGGTAAAAGGGCAAAACAGGAAGTCCCGCCCCTCCTTGAAAAGTCAATGGTGGCCCGGAAGGATCAAAAAGGAGCCAGCGATTTCGCCGCGTGAATTGCTTTTTATGATTGGAAAGGTCTTCGCTTCTAGAGCTCTAGCCGGCGGGGCGACCTTGCAGTGCCAGGACTCGGCACCGCGCCCCTCCTCCGCCGGTTGGTGGCCTGCGTGACCCTGTCCTCCCGTCGACGTCGAAAGGAAGCCGAACGTGGGCGGGCAGAGAGGTAGGCTCGCTGGTGGGTCCGGGTGGGGCACGCGTGGAGTACGGGCCCGGGAGATCCCTTACTGTCCCCAAGCGGCGTGTTCCTCTTGTGCAAAATGGGGTGGCACTGCAGTCGCCTGCTTGGTGACTTTGGCCCCCACACACCCGTTTCTACAGCGCTTAGGTTCGAACAGCAACCCTGTGAACTAGGCACTGCTGTCCCCGCTTTACCGGTGGGAAACGAGCTCGGAGAGAATAAATGAGCTGCCCTAAGCGACTGGGACAGAGCCACAGTTTAGCCCACACTGCGGCCCCAGCAGGGATCAAATCACAGTGTGAGATGAGCCTTTACTGCTAGTGCTCTTATGCTGTAACTGAGAACTGATTGTTTTCAGTTGTATCATCAAAATCTCGAAGCATGCTTTTTTTGATTTTTAAAGGAAGAGGAGATTGACTGTTTTACTCTTTCCTTGACTTCTCTTCAGATTACAAAGTTCATCGTTAATCTCAAATGTTATTTTGGCCAACAGCTTCATCCCATTAGGAATGGCAGCCCCATCTATGAAGGAAAGGCAGGTCTGCTGGGGAGCCCGGGATGAGTACTGGAAGTGTTTAGATGAGAACACAGACGATGCCTCTCAATGCAAGAAGTTAAGAAGCTCTTTTGAATCGAGTTGTCCCCAACAGTGGGTAAGTCACTTGATGTGTTTCTCTTCCCTGTTAAGATACATCGAGCTTATAGTGTCAGTGGTAGGCTGACGCGAAGCACTATCTGAGGCATGTCAATCAACAGTTTCTTGGAGGAGCGGAGAAAACCTTGTCGGGTCATCCAGCCTTGTTTGATGCACTTACATCAGGTAGACCTTTGGAGAATGTCAGCTGACACATTAAAGGGCATTGAAAAGCACAACAAACATATGAACAATAACAAAAAAATTTCAGCTCACTTCACTGCTAGATTTTTCCAGGATCTTCTGAAGGGGTAGTATTTAATCTTGGGGAGGAGTTGGCAAACTTATCGGCCTAGAGCTATTATCAGAAATAAAATAGTTCCCAGTTGCTCACCAAAAATCATATAGTCATATACCCAAATTATAAAGAAAGGAGTTTGGTAAGTAGAAGAAAGAAACGGTTCATATTGTGGATTCTGGGTCCCTGACAGGCATTCAAGCACTGTATTCCGCACCCTTAGTGCAAGTGGGGATTGGAAGGGGACTGTTCTATTACTGAGGTTAGTGAGTGGCCCTGTGTGCTCAGCGCTTGACAGCTCATCTTCACCAACACCCGTTAAGATAGGTGTTGTTATTCTCTAGCTCTAGAGGAGGCAACTGAAGCTCAGAGCATTGAAGTAACTCGCTTGTTATTCAGTGAGTGGCAGAATTGTAATTCGAAGGCCGGCCCAGTCGGCTGATGTGGGATTTGAACTTGGATTTGTCTGTGCTTTTTCACTATCTTATGCTGCTCCAAAACTATCATGTAGTAGGAGAACAGATAATTTTAGAGAAGTGGTTTTAGGGTTTTTACCCTCTGGCACCTCAAACTTTTGAGAGGCCTTCAAGGAGACCACAAGAAAGGTATGATGCGGGGGAAGGAGTTATATTGGTGGGCTGAGCTGGGGATGAATGCAGTGAACAGAAATTTTATTTTTCTTTCTTTATTTTTTAGAGACAGGGTCTCAATCTGTCGCCCTGCTGGAGTGCAGTGGCGTGATCATAGCTCACTACAGCCTTGACCTCCTGGCCTCAAGCGATCCTCCCACTTAAGCCTCCTGAGTAGCTGGCACTAGGTGTCTGCCACCATGCCTGGCTAATTTTTTAAAAAATTTTTTGTAAAGGCAGGGTCTTACTATGTTGCCCAAGCTGGTCTCAAACTCCTGGGCTCAAGTGATCTTTGCACCTTGACCTCCTAAAACACTGGGATTAACAGGCGTTGAGCCACCACATCTGGCCAGAAATTGCTTTAGATAAACTCTTCATCTGTAAAACCAGCATGATGCAACCTATCTGATGGGATTGTTATGAAGACAAAATGCGTAACTTGACATGTAAACTGAAAACTGATAAATGTGGGACTTTATGATTGAATTAGATAATGGTTCAAGCAGAAAATGGTATCCATCTGTAGTTTTTCCATTAGACAGATACGTTCAGAGGAACTCCAGGTTTAAGGAGTTCCTCTTCGGTCCCACTTTTATCCTCTCTCTCCTCCTGAAACTCACTGCTGTTTCTCCAGCCTAATGGCTCCCACTCCCACACTTCCAGGGCAGCTTCCAGTCTGTGTGTCAGAAAGGGTTTTTACAGCCAGCCGTTGGTTCTGTATTGTACATCTCTTCCACTCAGGCAGACTGGGCGCCATGCCCTGAGGGCTTAACCTCTCTCCAGGTCACTGTGTCCTGGTCACCGCTAACATTAATTGAGTACATCCTCTACACACTTGAAATGTGTCATCTATCTTACCCCTCATGGAACTCTCTTAGTGGTTTTATAGACAAGGGCAGATTGACATGAAGTCTCTTATAGTCACAGAGCCTGGATTTGAACTCAGTAGTCTGATTCCAGACCCCACATACTTCTTCCTGTGCCTACCATGCAAGAAAAGGATCCATAAAAATAGCTTGCACAAATCTCATGTTCTAGAAACTTAGTCATAATTCAAGTTTACTTAAATACAAAAGCCCCGTCTTCTTGGGTCCCTTTCCAGTTCTCTCACCCAGTTCCTTTCATGTCTAGCAGCCACTGCTCTTTGGAATGCCTTCCTGTGTGTCTGTTAAGTGCCCGTGTTCCTTAGAGCTCCCTTCTGTGCTACTCACCCATCCAAGGCAATCCTATTGACAGCCATGGCTTTAAGCCCCAACTTATGTGTTGATGCCTATCTTAGCTCAGGCTGTCATAGGAAAATACCTTACAGAAATATATTTCTCACAGTTCTGGAGCCTGGCGGTCCAAGATCAGGATGCCAGCATGGTCAGTTTCTGATGAGAGCCCTCCTCTTGGCTTGTAGACAGCCACCTTCTTGCTGTCTTCTCACCCAGCAGAGAGAGAGAGGTCCAGTCTCTTCCTCTTGTAAGGACATTAACCCCATCAGATTAGCAGGGCCCACACTCATGACCTCATCTGAACCTAATCACCTCCTAAAGGCCCCACCTTCAAATACCTTCACATTGGGGTTAAGGTTTCAACATTCGAATTTGGGAGAAGCATGAGCCTTCAGCCCATGCAATGCCCAAAGGTGCTTCTCCAACCTGACCCTTTCTCCAACTCCAGAACCACCTTTCCAGCCACCTGTTAGCTTCCTAGGTGGAGATTCACGAGGACCAACCTTGACCTCTGCGTATACAAGAGCGAGCTCTTCCCCGTCCTGCACCCAGTAGACCGCTCCTCCCGTGCTTCCAGCCTCAGTGAAAGACATCAGCATCAATTTAGGACCAGGGGCCTGGGTGTCAGCCTCGACTGAATTATTGGAGTGTTCTCGGGAGGGAGACTAGATAAGTCAGGGCTGTGAGCTTAGCTGCTGTCCAGCTTCAGTCTGATCCTTCTGGAAGCTCTGGAGAATGAACTGCACCATAATTCATGGCTTTTGTGCCTGCCAGTCATTGGCGTTGGCTGAGGGGCAGGTCTCTGGAGAAGTGGGCAGCCATCCTGTGTTAGCACAGTGGGGAGTGGGTACATAGTTCTGCAGAGGGAATCTGGACAAAGGCCCAGTAGTGGCCACTACCCCACCTATTCAGTTGCAGCCAGGATGAAGCCACCACAGCACCCCACATGGGGTCTCTGTATCTATTCAACTCGCCCATAGAACTGCAGAGCTGAGTATTCTCTTCAGCCAGTCTCAGCAGCAGTGGGTGAAGGAGAGGAATTCATGCATTCATAGTTAGTTAAAGCACTTGTCCAGGGAAGGAGTATTACAGTTCATGGATCTAGAGTGGAGATTCGGTGTTCCCCTTCTGACAAGAAAAGTAATACTTTCACGTTTTATAAAAAGTATTTATTAAAGAAAAATTCAAGAACACATAACCTGCTCATTTTAATGAAATAATGATATAGAAAAAAAAATCTTTCCACTAGTGTCATTTCTTTTAGTCCATATCCTGTTCATTTAATCATTCCACAAATATTTATTGAGCACCTCCTGTGTACCATAGGAAAATAGAGCAAAGAAAAAAAGTAGACAGCCTTCATGTAGCATACATTCTAGTGTCGGGAGAGAGACAAGTAGTAGAATTAAAAGGATGTTATATGGTGATAAGTGATAGAATAAAAAATCAAACAAGGGTGCAGGTTTAAGCAGGATAATCAAGAAAGGTTTTATGTAGAAACTACTTTCACAAAGATATGAAAAGGGTTAGGGAACAGATAGGCAGATACCTGGTGAAGAGGATTCCAGGCAAAGAGAATGAAACATCCAAAACCCTGCACTGATGGGCCAGGCATGGTGGCTCACGCCTGTAATCCCAGCACTTTGGAAGGCCAAGGTGGGTGGATCACCTGAGGTCAGGAGTTTGAGACCAGCCTGGCCAACGTGGCAAAACCCCATCTCTACTAAAAATACAAAAGTTAGCTGGGTGTGGTGGTGGGCGCCTGTAATCCCAGCTACTTGGAAGGCTGAGGCAGGAGAATCACTTGAACCCGGGAGGCAGAAATTACATTAAGCTGAGATCATGCCGCTGCACTGCAGCTTGGGTGACAGAGTGAGACTCTGTTTTGTTTCGTTTTAAAAGACACATACACCCAAAAACCTGTACCAATGTGTTTAAGGGACAGTAAGAAGAAAATAGCAAAAGTCAGAGCCAAGAGATGGGAGGCCAGGGAGGTTATTTGTTTATTTATTGAGACAGGGTCTTACTCTGTCACCCAGGTTAGAGTGCAGTGATGGGATCTTCACCATGTTGCCCAGGCTGGTCTTCAACTCCTGGACTCAAGCAATCTGCCCATCTCAGCCTCCCAAAGTGCTGGGATTATAGGTGTGAGCCACTGTGCTCAGCCATGGATGGAGCTTTTACTCTTAATAATACAGGAAACCACTGGAGAGCTTTGGATTTAGGAGTAAGGAGGGAAGTGAGGCCATGAGAGGGATGACAATCAGTGAAAAGGTGGTGGGATTGGGGGACTGTTGGCCTTAAGTCCAAGAGGGAATGTTCAGAGAGTTGGAGAATGGGATTCGCACAAGTGGAATTATGGAAGGGTTATGTTTGTTATGAGGACAAGATATAAGCTTTGATCCTAGGAGTAAGGTAGGTTGGAAGATGAGATCATTGAAGAGGTCAAGGAACTGAGAGGCCAGAGTATTGAAAGATTGGTATGTGGATATTGAAATTACACACGAGTTGTGGCCTGAGTATTGTTGGAGAAAATGGTGGTTTATTAGTCTGTTTTCATACTGCTATAAAGAACTGCCCTTATAAACTTAGGAGCAGGGATCAGGCCTATTGTTCTAGCATTGTCTAACAAAGTTCCACAAACAGAACAACCAAATATCCAAGATATGTGGTCTTAATATCAAATTCACATATTGTCTTTTTCCTATGAAACTTTGAAATGTCCCAGAAATCCCAGTATTTTGGCATTCACACTACTGCCCTGCGTCTTATTTAGTGGTTTAGAGGACACTCGCTTCTGTGTATACAGTACTTCTCAATAAATCCTTGTTGATTCATTAGCCTTTTAGAGAAAGGACCATGTGTTGAGGGTCTTAGCCTGTTGGTTGAAACAGAAGATGAGGCTAGGGAGGAGAGCTTTCCAGGAAGAATGTGGTAATATGCAAAGGCATGGAATCAAGACGCACAGGAAATAAGCATGGGGTAGCTCTGTAGGGAAACAGTTCCAGGACTGCTGGTAAATTCAGAGAAGATGGACAAATGGGCAGGGCTGGAGCCATCAATGGCCTTGTTTGTCTTACAGACCTTAAAGGCAATACGGATACCTTGAAAAATCTTTAAACAAACAAGTGACCTTATTAAATTTGGGATTTAGAAAGATTATACTCTGGCAGCATGGGACAGGTGGATTAAGGATGTTTGAGCCTGGAAATAGAGAAGCCAGTGAACGAGCTATTACAGCCACCCAGGTGAAGAATGATGAGGGTTTGTGCCATGGTAGTGAAGAGGGGAACAGAGATCTAAGTGTCTAGGTGGATGTTCATTGAAACAGGTATTAAAGAAGAAACACGTTTGGAGTGAAGCTAAGTTCTGGGCAAATTGGGACTGAAATGTCAGTAGGACTTCTAAATGGAGTTGTCTTAGGCAGTTGGTGATGTGACAGAAGATGCAAACATTTATTAATTTGTCACAAAAATGTTAAGGACATTATCCACTTCTTTCTTTGGTATCCTTCATAGAACGTCTGTCCTAGCCCAATCAGCCTGAGACTGCCAGGGATGAATCTGTAGACTGATTTACGAATGCTTGTAACCAGGAAGACCACACACGAGAGGAACTGTGGGCATCTCACCAACAAAGGAAAAGAGCGTTATTAGAAGTTTAGGGGGAAGAATGGAGTTTAGGTAAAATTTAAATGAAGTGTTTTTTTTTTAATTTTTAAAAATATATATATATTTTATTGTGTTTTAGGTTCTGGGGTACATGTGAAGAGCATGCAAGATGTTGCATAGGTACATACATGGCAATCTGGTTTGCTGCCTTCCTCCCCATCACCTATATCTGGCATTTCTCCCCATGTTATCCCTCCCCAGCTTCCCACCCGCCACTGTCCTTCCCCTAGTTTCCCCCCTCAACAGACCCCAGTGTGTGATGCTCCCCTCCCTGTGTCCATGTGTTCTTATTGTTCAACACCCACCTGTGAGTGAGAACATGTGGTGTTTGATTTTCTGTTCTTACTTCAGTTTGCTGAGAATGGTGGTTTCCAGGTTCATCCATGTCCCTACAAAGGACACAAACTCCTCGTTTTTTATGGCTGCATAGTATTCCATGGTGTATATGTGCCACATTTTCCCTGTCCAGTCTATCATTGATGGGCATTTGGGTTGGTTCCAAGTCTTTGCTATTGTAAACAGTGCTGCAGTGAACATTTATGTGCATGTGTCCTTATAATAGAACGATTTATAATCCTTAGGACATACACCCAGTAATGGGATTGCTGGGTCAAATGGAATTTCTATTTCTAGGTCCTTGAGGAATCGCCACCCTGTCTTCCACAGTGTAAACTGTTCCTATTTCTCCACACCCTCTCCAGCATCTGTTGTCTCCAGATTTTTTAATGATCGCCATTCTAACTGGCGTGAGATGGTATCTCAATGTGGTTTTGATTTGCATCTCTCTGATGACCAGTGACGATGAGCATTTTTTCATATGTTTTTTGGCCTCATACATGTCTTCTTTTATAAAATGTCATTCATATCCTTCGCCCACTTTTGAATGGGCTTGTTTTCTTGTAAATCTGTTTTAGTTCTTTGTAGATTCTGGATATTAGCCCTTTGTCAGATGGGTAGATTGCAAAAATTTTTTCCCATTCTGTTGGTTGCCAGTTCACTCTAATGATTGTTTCTTTTGCTGTGCAGAAACTGTGGAGTTTAGTTAGGTCCTGTTTGTCTATTTTGGCTTTTGTTGCCAATGCTTTTGGTGTTTTAGTTATGAAGTCCTTGCCTATGCCTATGTCCTGAATGGTTTTGCCTAGATTTTCTTCTAGGGTTTTTATGGTGTTAGGTCTTACGTTTAAGTCTTTAATCCATCTGGAGTTAATTTTAGTGTAAGGTGTCAGGAAGGGGTCCAGTTTCTGCTTTCTGCACATGGCTAGCCAGTTTTCCCAACACCATTTATTAAACAGGGAATCCTTTCCTCATTGCTTGTTTTTGTGAGGTTTGTCAAAGATCAGATGGTTGTAGATGTGTGGCGTTGCCTCCGAGGCCTCTGTTCTGTTCCGTTGGTTTATATCTCTGTTCTGGTACCAGTACCAAGCTGTTTTGATTACTGTAGCCTTGCAGTATAGTTTGAAGTCAGGTAGTGTGATGCCTCCAGCTTTGTTCTTTTTGCTTAGAATTGACTTGGCTATGCGGGCTCTCTTTTGGTTCCATATGAAGTTTAAGGTGGTTTTTTCCAGTTCTGTGAAGAAGGTCCTTGGTAGCTTGATGAGGATAGCATTGAATCAGTAAATTACTTTGGGCAGTATGGCCATTTTGATGATATTGGTTCTTCCTGACCATGAGCATAGAACAGTTTCTCCATCTGTTTGTGTCCTCTCTTATTTCGTTGAGCAGTGGTTTGTAGTTCTCCTTGAAGAGGTCCTTTACGTTCTTTGTTAGTTGTATTCCTAGGTATTTTATTCTCTTTGTAGCAATTATGAATGGCAGTTCATTCTTGATTTGGCTCTCTTTAAGTCTGTTATTGGTATATAGGAATGTTTGTGATTTTTGCACATTGATTTTGTATCCTGAGACTTTGCTGAAGTTGCTTATCAGTTTCAGGAGATTTGAGGCTGAGATGATGGGGTCTTCTAAATATACAATCATGTTGCAAATAGGGACAATTTGACTTCCTCCTTTCCTAATTGAATACTCTTTTTCTTGCCTGATTGCTCTGGCTAGAACTTCCAATACCATGTTGAATAGGAGTGGTAAGAGAGGGCATCGTTGCCTAGTGCCATATTTCAAAGGGAATGCTTCCAGTTTTTGCCCATTCAGTATGATATTGGCTGTGGGTTTTCGTAAATAGCTTTTATTATTTTGAGATTCGTTCTATCAATACCTAGTTTATTGAGAGTTTTTAGCATAAAGGGCTGTTGAATTTTGTCAAAGGCCTTCTCTGCATCTATTGAGATAATCATGTGGTTTTTGTCTTTGGTTCTGTTTATGTGGGGAATTACGTTGATAGACTTGCGTATGTTGAACCAGCCTTGCATCCCCAGGATGAAGCCTACTTGATCGTGATGGATAAGCTTTTTGATGTGCTGTTGTAATCAGTTGCCAGTATTTTATTGAAGATTTTTGCGTCTATGTTCATCATGGATATTGGCCTGAAGTTTTCTTTTCTTGTTGAGTCTCTGCTGGGTTTTGGTATCAGGATGATGTTGGTCTCATAAAATGATTTGGGAAAGATTCCCTGTTTTGGGATTGTGTGGAATAGTTTCAGAAGGAGTGGTAGGTACCAGCTCCTCTTTGTATGTCTGGTAGGATTCGGCTGTGAACCCATGTGGACCTGGGCTTTTTTTGGTTGGTAGGCTATTGATTGCTGCCTCAGCTTCAGCTCTTGTTATTGGTCTATTCAGGGTTTTGACTTCCTCCTGGTTTAGGCTTGGGAGGATGCAAGTGTCCAGGAATTTATCCATTTCTTCCAGGTTTACTGGTTTATATGCATAGTGTTGTTTGTAGTAATCTCTGATGGTGGTTTGTATTTCTGTGGAATATGTGGTGATATCCCCTTTATCATTTTTTATTGCATCTATTTGATTATTCTCTTTTCGATTAATCTGGCTAGTGGTCTATTTTATTGATCTTTTCAAAAAACCAGCTCCTGGATTTATTGATTTTTGTGAAGGGTTTTTTTGACAACCATAGGTGTCATCATCAGCTCTGGATTGAAAAGTGGGCCCAGGGTTTTCCATTTCTTTGAAGTTAAAAGATTAGTGTCATGTTCATGTTGAGAAATGTGATTTGACATCCTGACGCTGGGCTGGAGATCAAGGCTGCTTCTGTGTCAGGGTGCCTTAGATCCTCTAGACAAAAGTGGGATGTTTCCTTCTTACAGATAAGACTTCAAACAGCAAATTTCTGGTAGATGATTTTAAAGAACAAGATTTCTTAGTGAATAAGAAAGCAATAGTCACTCAAATAAAGGGTCTATTAGCATCCTCCATGGCTGTAGTATGCCCTTGGGAGACCTGATTGCTTTCAGCTGGCTTTATGTGTATCCCAGCTTCATTGATACAGGGCAGGGCAGATTTTTACATTCGCAGTCCAAGCGAATTTTTATTTACAAGCACCACTGAAGTATTTTAATAATTAAGTCCTAAGAAAAGCTTTTAATAAAAGAACTAGTGTTTTCTAGTCTGACAATGAAGGTGAATTTAGATTTGATAAGAAAAATGGTCCAGGCTGGGCGTGGTAGCTTACACCTGTAATCCCAGCACTTTGGAAGGCCGAGGTGGGTGGATCACTTGAGGTCCAGAGTTCAAGACCAGCCTGGCCAACGTGGCAAAACCCCATCTCTACCAAAAATACAAAAAAATTAGCCAGTCTTGTTGGCAGGTCACCTGTGTGTACATGGGGCCATTTCTTGAAAAGTTTCCTGAGTTATTCAAATTCTTAACATGGTCTATAACTCAAAAAGGATTAGGATTCACTGGGACACATTCTCCTCAGGGACTTACTCCTCAAATGCCTCAATTCGAAATGGTTCTATCTTTAAGTCACTTACATTTATGTTGAATAATGTGTTGTTGCAGTCTGTGCTTTTGCTTATCTAAGCTGCATAACTTGCCCTGATTTCCAATCCTTTTTCGTTTTCAACAGATAAAATATTTCGATAAAAGAAGAGACTACTTAAAATTCAAAGAAAAATTTGAAGCGGGGGAATTCCAGCCTTCAAAAACAACTGCAAAATCCTAGGCTGTTCATAAAGATTGACAGTATTCTTTCTGGACATTAAAAAAAAGCTCTACTGACTATGGGACAGTAGTAGCCTGAATCATAGTGAACATCAACATTTATTCCCTGTATATGACTCTTGATAGTTAAGATGATCAAGAACCAGATTTGTAAAAAATTGAAATAAAATGGTATTTATAATTTAATAAGGAATCTCTTGTTTTACAAATTAAAACCTGTTATAAACACATGCAGTTTTTTGTTTTGTTTTGTTTTGAGGGTGGGAAGTAGGCAGATAAAATTTATAATATACATAGAAGTGAAATCAATGGGAGTTAGCATTTTAATACAGGAAAGAGCTATTACAACAACCCAAGTGAGAAATGATGAGGGTTTATGGAAGGTTTATAAGGAAGAAGGGTGAACTTAAAATATATAAGCAAAATAATAAAAGTCATCTATAAAAAAGCCCATAGCTAATATCACAGTTAATGTTGGGACAGTAACTGAATTCCTAGCTAGTTCAGTAAGACAAAAAAGAAAGAAAAAGCAAACACACTGGGAAGAAAGAAAGAAAAACTGGTTCTACTCACATATAATATCTCACAGAATGTACCAACGGATGTACAAAAACTCCTAGAACTATGTCAGTCATAGAAAGGTTGCAAGAAACAAGGTCAATATACATAAGGAAAAATATATTCCTATATACCAGCAATAAACAGTTGGAATTTAAAACTTAAAAATACCATTTATGAATAGCACCAAAAAAAATTAAAGGAATACTTAGGTATAAATCTAATATAGGGAGGCATGTATGCTAAGGAAGCAGACTACATCAAATTGAATGGAGAGGTATACAGTTGGCCTTCTGTGGGTTCTGCATTCATAGGTTCAACCCTGAACAAAATATTTGGGAAAAGAAAAAATTTTAAAAAGTAAAAATAATAAAAATTTAAAAATAACAGTATAACATTGATTTACATAGCATTTATATTGGTGTTATAAATAATCGCGATGATTTGATGTACTGGCATAGCTCGGAGACACTGCAGGTTTGGTTCCAGACTGCATTAAAGTGAATACCACAACGGAGTGAGCTACACACTTTCCAGTACACATAGAAGTTACGTTTCTACTGTTGTCTAGTCAGTATGCAACAGCACTATGTCTACCCAATGTCTACACCTTAATTTTAAAATACTTCATTACTAATAAGTGCTGAAGATTGTCTGAGCCTTCAGCAAGTTGTCATCTTTCTGCTGGTAGGTCTTGCCTCGATGTTGATGGCCGCTGACTGATGGGGTAGCGGGGTGGCTGCTGAAGTTTGGGGTGCCTGTGGCAATTTTTAAGACAACAGTTAAGTTTGCTGTATTGACTGACTCTTCATTTCACAAAAGATTTCTCTAGCATGCAATGCAGTTTGATAGTATTTTACCTGTAGAACTCCATTCAAAATTGGAGTTAATGCTCTTCAACGGTGCTGCTGCTTTATCACCTAAGTTATGTCATATTCTCAGTTCTTTATTTCAACAGTACTCAGCATCTTCACCAGGAATAATTTCATCTCATCTCAAGAAATAATTTCCTTTGCTCATCCATGAGAAGCAACTTCTCATCCATTCAAGATCTTGAGATTGAAGCAGTTGTCACAGGCTTTTTTTTTTTTTTTTTTTTCTGAGACAGGATCTCACTTTCACTCAGACTTTCACTAAGGTGGTGCGATCTTGGCTCACTGCAACCTCCACCTCTGGGGTTCAAGCAATTCTCCCACCACAGCCTCCCGAGTAGCTGGGACTATAGATGCATACCACACCTGGCTAGTTTTTTGTGGTTTTTGGTAGAGACAGGGTTCACCATGTTGGCCAGATTGGTCTCGAACTCCTGACCTCAAGTGATCTGCCCACCTTGGCCTCCCAATGCTAGGATTACAGGCGTGAGCCCCGTACCCAGCTAGGCTTCACATCTAATTCTCATCTAATTCTCTCTCTGTTATTTCCACCATATCTGCAGTTCCTTCCTCCAGCATGAAGTCCCCAGCTGCATTATTGGCCCGTAACAAGTCGCCCATCCTTTAAAACTTTGAAGCCAGGCATTGACTTCTCCTCTTTAGCTGTGAAAGTCCTAGATGGTATCTTCTTCCAAACAAAGGCTGTTTGATGTGCATTGAAAATCCGTGTCGTGTAGCTACCTTCATTGGTGATCTTAGGCAGATCCGGGTGATCTGCTGCAGCTTCTACACAAGCACTTCTTCACCTGACACTTTTCTGAAGACAGCTTCTTTCCTCACACTTGGTTAACCAATGTCTGCAAGCTTCACAGCTCTCTGCTGTAGCTTCCTTACCTCTCTCAACCTTTATAAAATTGAAGACAGTTAGGACTTTGCTCTGGATACGGCTTTGGGTTAAGGGAATATTGTGGCTGGTTTGATCTTTTATCCAGAAAACTCAAACTTTCTCCATATCAGCAGTAAGACTCACTTTCTTATTTATGTGTTCACTGGAGTAGTACTTTTAATTTCAAGAACTTTTCCTTTGCATTCACAACTTGGCTAAGCATTTGGTGCAAGAGGCCTAGTTTTTGGCCTATGTCAGCTTTTGACATGGCTTCCTCACTAAGCTCTTTTTATTTACTTATTTTTTTGAGACGGAGTTTCACCCTTGTTGCCCAGGCTGGAGTGCAATGGTACGATCTTGGCTCATCACAACCTCTGCCTCCCAGGTTCAAGCAATTCTGCCTCAGCCTCCCAAGTAGCTGGGACCACAGGAGTTTGCCACCATGCCCGGCTAATTTTTTTTTTCTCTTTGTATTTTAGTAGAGATGGGGTTTTTCTGTGTGGGTCAGGCTTGTCTCAAACTCCCCTCCTCAGATGATCTGCCTGCCTCAGCCTCCCAAAGTGCTGGGATTACAGGTGTGAGCCACCATGCTCACATCAAGCTCTGAATCATTTCTCGCTCTTAAAGTGAGAAACTTGCCACTCTTCCTTTCACTTGAACACTTAGAGGCCATCAATAGTGTTATTAATTGGCTTAATTTCAATAATTGTTTTCTCAGGGAATAAGGAGGCCTGAGAAGGAGAGAGACGGGGGCCAGTGAGAGGAGCAGTCAGAACACACACATTTATCAATTAAGTTCACCATCTTACATGGGTGCAGTTTGTGGCACTCCAAAGCAATTATAAAAGTAACATTAACGATCACTGATCACAGATCACCACAGCAGATAAAGCAATGAAAACATCTGAAATATTGTGAGAACTAGCAAAATGTTAACAGAGAGACACACCCTGTTGGGAAAATGGCGCAGATAGATTTGCTTGACACAAGGTTGCCACAAACCTTCAATTTGTAAAAAAAAATGCATTATCTGTGAAGCACAATAAATCAGGTGTAATAAAATGAGGTATGCCTGTATAAGGGAGGATATGTATAGGTTAAATGCAAATATGATACCATTTTATATGAGAGACTTGAGCATCTTCAGATTTTGGTATCTGCAGAGGGTCCTGGAACCAATCCATCATGGCTACTGAGGAATAACTGTACTGTGTTTATGGATTAGAAGACTCACTATTGTTAAGATATTGTTGAAGTTTCTCCAATTTGATCTACAGGTTCAATACAACCCCAATCAAAAATCGCAGTAAGCTTTTTTGTAGATATTGACAAACTGATTCTAAAATTTATATGGAAAAGCAAAGGAACTAAAACAGTCAATTTTAAAAAGAAGAACAAAGTAATTTGCATTACTTGATTTCAAGACTTATTTGAAAGGTACAGTAATCAACAGTATGGTATGGGCAAAACAAAAGATATACTTTAATGGAACAATAGAGACCCATACAAATAGTCAACGGTGTTTGCATAGAGGTACAAAGGCATTTCAACAGAGAAAGGATAATCTTCAACAAATAGTGCTAGAAAAACTGGATATTTAAACACACCAAAAAAATCTTTAACATCCTCATGCCTTGTACAAAAAGTGACTCAAAATGGATCACAGAGCTAAATGTAAAATGGAAAACTATAAAACTTGTAGAAGAAAATATGAAGTTCTTTCTTAAAATGATGAATACAGACTGAGAGAAAATATTTGCAAATCACATATTTTATGAGGAACTTGTATCCAGAATAAATCTTATAATCCTCAAAATAAGAAAAACAATTGTTTTAAAAATAAGATTTTGTATATACTTCTCAGAGATATATTCTGAAAAATATATGAAAAGATGTTCCATGTTATTAAACATTAGAGTAATGCAAATTAATACCACAATGATATATCACTACACACCTATTAGTGTGGCTTAAATTAAAAAGTTGACAATACCAAGTGCTGACAAGGATGCAGAGTGACAGTCATTCACTGCAGGTGGAAACGCAAAAATAAAGTCCCTTTGGAAAAGTTTTTTACAGAGTTAAATATGCACTTACCTTATGACCCAGTAATCATACTCCTAGGTATTTCACCAAATGAACTGAAAACAAAACCTGTGTATGAATATTTGTTTGAAGCAGCTTTATTCATAATCACCAAAAACTTGAAACAACCCAGATGCCTACAACAGAGGAATGGATAAACTGATACATCTATGCAATGGGATGCCACTCACAAATAAGGAAAAATGAACTCCGATTCACAAAACATAGGTGAACTTTAAATGCACTTTCCTATGTGAAAAAGCCAGATCCAAAAGGCAATATATAAATAAATTTATATATATATATATATATATAAACGTCAGGGGAAGCGCAAATGCATATTATATGCCACCATTTTTAAGATTCTGGAAAAGGTAAAACTAAAGGATAGAAAACAGATCAGTGGTTACCAATGGTTGAGATGAAGAAAGAGGTTGACCATGAAGGGGTTACACAAACTTTGGGTGATGAAACTGTTCTCTATGCCACTGTGGTGGTAGATCCATGAGTTCACATTTGTCAAAACCCAGACTGTGCACTATAAAGAGTGACCCTGAATGCACATTAAAAATAGAATCAACCAAGATACTGGGGGGATTACAATATGGAATGCAGGATGTGATGAGTCTAACTGTATTATAAATATATGACATAAGCCTATTCAAAGAGGTGGGTAAGAAAGGGACTGACTTAAGCAACTGGAAAATAGTGTTTTGACCAGATACTGTAAGGCTATGGGGCAAAAAGAACTGCATACACGTTGCTAAGTTTGCAATTCTGAAACTACGTTTACATTAGGATTGAACAAAAAAGTAAATATAGATAATGGGAACCAGGTCTATGTCAGAAAAAGCAGTTGAAAGCGAGAAGTGAATGTTAGAATGAACCCTGTGGTGCTGGATTGGTGTCAGAGAAATTAGTACGAAGTCATGTTTATGTTCACCTATCTAGACTGACAAGTGCAGAAACATCTATAGATATGTGCATACATGGGTTGATAAGACATACACAGATCCCCCAGCTCCATCCACGGAGAAGGATGTGCATAGCATCCAAATATTCCCCCAAATATTAATTACTCTGGTAATTTTAACAGCTGCCCCTGAATTCTTCGATACTCCTCCCAGAGGGTTTACATTCCCTACCCTTTAGTATAGGCTGGGCTTAGTCACTCACCTTTAACAGACTGAGGAAAAGAAGAGAGCAAATTCACAAAGAAGAATGTGGCAAGCACAGCCTTCAGCAAATGATTGGAGTGGAACATCCTGCTGGTGCCGTGCACCATCTGACGTGATGTGACGGAAGGCACCTGACTATTATATTCCTCCTCAAAACCACAACCTCAGTCTAATAAGAAAACACCAGACAAACCCAAAATTATGGGACATATCCAGAAGACTTGGCCAGTACTAAGTATCCAGGTTATGAGAGACAAGGAAAGACTGAATATCTGGTCAGAGATATGAGGAGACTAAGGGGACTTGAGGAGTAAATGCAATGTGGTATCCTGGGATGGCTCCTGGGGAAGAAAACAGAGCGGAAAATGGGAGATCGGATTCAAGTCTACAGCATAGGGAAAAGCACCACTGTCAATGGTTAATTTCCTAGTTTTGCTGAAGGTCACCATGGTTACGTGAGATCACATGAGAGGCATGTGGGTGAAGGGTATATGAAAACTTTGTGTACTCTCTTTGCAACCCTTCTGCAAAAGAAAGGTATTTCAAAAGAAACTACAAAAGAACATATTTACAGGTAATGGACTTAAATTTAAATATTATTAAAAGGGACCCAGACATAATTGAAGTTCATTGCTGGGTGGTGACAAATACCCATAAATAATTGAGTATAAAGAGCAGAGAAAAAATTCGAAAGAACAGAAACAGTCAATCAACACTCACAGGTTCCAGGCTGTTTCAATGATGTACAGGAGTAATTCAGCTCCTTTAGGTCCATGTTCATACTTGTCAGAATACAGACTATTTCTAACCACTGTTTGATCTGTCTGTGCAAAGGTACTATGAAAAACTTCGTATACACTTTTATTTTTTGAGATAGAGTCTAATTCTCTCACTCAGACTGGAGTGCAGTGGCGCGATCTCAGCTCACTACAGCCTCTGCCTCCCAGGTTCAGGTGATTCTCCTGCCTCAGCCTCCCAAGTAGCTGGGACGACAGGTGCATGTCACCATACCTAGCTAATTTTTGTATTTTTAGTAGAGACAGAGTTTCACCATGCTGGCCAGGCTGGTCTTGAATTCCTGAGCTCAGGTAATCCGCCCACCTCGACCTCCCAAAGTGTGGAGATTACAGGCGTGAGCCACTGCACCTGGCCATAAACTTACTATGAGTGATGATGGCCTTGGTCATGGCTTTAAAAATAAATTAAAGCCTATTACCTGAGCATTCTGAGCCTCAAAGGGACGCAGGCTCCACATCCTGCCAAGTGTGCTTCCTGAGGGGAGTATGGAGATGGAAAGCAGCACAGAGGCTGATGACCCCTCTTCATTCAGAAACTTTGCCTCAACCTGCCTGACTCAAGGATATGAGTATTCACAGATGATCGCTACTTTAACTCTGCTTGATCATAGTCCACATTTCTGACAACAGGAGTTCCTAGGAAATAAATTATCTCTTAAAAAGTCCATTGTTGCTGGGCATGGTGGCTCACGCCTAATCCCAGCACTTTGGAAGGCTGAGGCGGGCAGACCACCTGAGGTCAGGAGTTCAAGACCAGCCTGACCAACATGGAGAAACCCCGTCTCTACTAAAAATACAAAATATTAGCCAGGCATGGTAGTGCATGCCTTTAATCCCAGCTACTTGGGAGGCTGAGGCAGGAGAATCACTTGAACCCAGGAGGCAGAGGTTGCGGTGAGCCAAGATTGCGCCATTGCACTCCAGTTTGGGCAACAAGAACACAACTCCATCTCAAAAAAAAAAAAAAATCCATGGTTTTATTTCCACAATTGCTTATTTTATTAAATAAACAATACAATTTAACAGAAAGTGTTTATTAAAGGAGAAAATATATAGTAATATATTTAAGGCACATGATAAACTTTTGGCATTATATGGCAAGAAATAAGAAATACAAATTATAACAGTAAATTTCAGAATCTGTTTCTTTAGTCCAAATAGTTTTTTTAAAAAAAACTTTCAACAGCACCCGTGGTTTACTGAGATGCACATCACGGCTTGGTGTCTCCGTGTGAGAGCAGCTGCTGCCTGGTGTACTCCCAAATCAGCAGGGCTCCACTCACGTGGACATTCAGTGAGCGGATAATGCCCTGCTGAGGAATTTCCACACAAACGTCCAACTGCTGGATCAGATTTGCTGGAATTCCCTCACGTTCATTTCTGAGGAAGAAAATAGAAGAAAACTTAGTTTCCCTGTATAACAATTTTTTTCTATGATATTTTTATTTTTTGTTTGTTTATTTTTCTCTTCGATACTCTGAATGTCACTAAAAGAGGCATTAACAAATGAAGTAAATCTGTGGTACCAGGAAATAAGTAAGAGTGTAGGAAAAAGACTGATGGGTCAATTCTGTGTTCACCTGACCATGCCAGAAAGATGAAATAAAAGGAAAACCCAGGGGGCTTCTTATAAATGTTACAAATCAAAGAGAAGGGCAGGTATGAGCAGTAGTCCAGACAAACTATAAAACAGAAAGGTAACATCTTCCTATCAGGCATGGTGGTTCATGCCTGTAACTCCACTACTTTGGGATGCTGAGGTGGGCGGATCACTTAAAGTCAGGAGTTTGAGACCAGCCTGGCCAACATGGTGAAACTCTGCGTCCGGTGGAGCACACCTGTAATCCCAGCTACAGGGAGGCTGAGGCCCAAAAATCACTTGAGCCTGTGAGGCACAGGTTTCAGGGAGCCGAAATCATGCCAATGCACTCCAGCCTGGGCTACAGAGTGAAATTCCATGTCAAAAAAGAAAAGAAAAGAAAGGTAACATCTTCCAGTAGTCTGGGGTTCAGAGAATATACTATGGACAAGAGAAGCTTCTTACCCCAACAAGAGTAGAGATTTCTCAGGAAAGCAATACTGGGTTAGGTCTAAACTTCTGGCAGTTTGTTCCACTCCAATGATGGTATAACCTTCTGTTTTCTTCTGCTGCAGATAAGCAGTTAGCTGAGGCGGTTTTACCTGAATATTAGTTTAAATAGAACGTAACATTCATTCACTTACAGCCCTGCTTGTTGTGAATTAGAGTTAAAAAACTTATTAACCTCAACTTGTTATGTCTCTTTAAAAGAAAATGGAAAGAACTACACATTAGAAAAAAGAACTCTCCCAACATGATATAAATTTCTAAGAATTATTCCTAAATGAAGAGTGAGCTGTAACAGGATACATTTTACTGAACAGAATTCTACATTATTAATGATTTCTAAATGTGACCTATAAAAAAAAAGTAGAAAAACAGAAGTAAGCTTTATTTTACTTTAAAACATTGTTCTTAAACGATTAAAGATGGCACTATTATAAATTAAGCCAAATAACTAACACACAAAGATGGAGCACTGAACGTATGTCTACAAACTTCTAAAACTTTCATTTTAGGTTCACGGGTACATGTACAGGTTTGTTATAAGAACTTTAATAATAAATTACTTTCCACCCACCTCCACTAAAGGAAGCCACTGTTCTGCAGAGACACTGAGGTACTGGAACTGTTTGTCGCTGATACACTGAAGACTGCCTACAACGAGCACGGAAGCCCCAAACACCTCGCAGGTCCTGCACAGTCCTGCAGAGAACACCTGGAGTCATTACAGCTGTTTCCAGCACAATGCTAAACTCATCAGCTCCCATACATTCCTTTGAAGCTCCTGTGGCAGCAGATTAATTAAAAAATAAATTTAAGACTAAACAATTTTAGGCAAGCTCCCGGAAATCTACAACTTTACCTCCTAAATTGGTTGGTTTGTCAATGAGCGAGGCCACAACGATTAGTCTACTAATTGACTTTCCAAGTCTGGCAGCACGATCCTGAAACAGGAGCTCCAGGTCTAACTCAGGAACACGACTGTTCCATGGGATAATCTTCTTCTGAACGTCGGTCCACTCTGCTCGGTTATCTGCTTCAACCAAATTCGCACCTGGGAAGGAAAAAGAAAACAATCCACATATAAATAAATCTCAATCTATCTATATATATTTATACATAGATATATATTTTTATTAATTTGAAATAACTTAGAATGAGATTTAACAAAGCATTAACTAAAAAACTTTACTTGCATTCAGACACAATTGCCATTTTTAATAGTAATTTTAAAGTTTCAAATTCAGCTCTATATTAACATACTTCATGAAAACAGATAAACATTTTTTCACATTTTAGCATATCTGAAATTGAGACACGTCTCAGAATCCAGATTATCACAGTTTAGTAATATTTTTTCCCTTGGAGATACATAAAATAATGGTTTATCTTACAAACAATAGAAGCTTAGGATTTTCTGTGGAAAGACTATTTCTGAAAACAATATAATAAATTTCTAAAATAATTTTACAAGTGATTAGAGGAACTCTTCTAAAATGAAGGATGTTGTATAAAGCAGTTATCTCTTGACTAAACTGATGAGTAGACAGAACGTTATTAGTCTATCTGACTGCAGAGTTTGATCTCTGTAGTACAGGAATGAGACTACTGGTGAAGCTCTTCCTCAACTCTCTCCCACTCCAAACTGCTTTCTGAGCAATCAAGGAGCACTTAGTTCACTTAGGAGAGGACAGACATGCAAATAATTTTAACACAGTACAACGGTGAAGGTAATGCTCACACAGAAAGGGATTACTAATGTCTAGGGGAAGGAAAGGCAAAGAGTAAGACCCAGGAAGGCTCATGGGAAGGACGGTAAAAGTCTGCAAAGCAGACAGTAGACACAGCAAGTGCACAGGCATAGGATGTGGGAGCAATATGGTTCAGGCAGCAGCAAGTACCTTGGTTTAGTGCACAGCCTGCAATAGAGTGGAGGGAGATGGCTCAAAGAGCTCTGCATATAATGATAAAGAATTTATTCTACTGGCCAGGCACAGTGGCTCACGCCTGCAATCCCAGCACTTCGGGAGGCCGAGGCAGGAGGATCACCTGAGGTCAAGAGTTTAAGGCCAGCCTGGCAAACATGACGAAACTCCATCTCTACTAAAAATACAAACATTGGCCAGGCGTGGTGGTGGAGCCTTGTAATCCCAACTACTTGGGAGGCTGAGGCACAAGAATCACTTGAACCCAGGAGGCAGAGGTTGCAGTGAGCTGAGATGGTGCCACTGCACTTCAGCCTGCAGCCTGATAGACAGAGTGAGACTCCATCTCAAAAAAAAAAGAAGAGAATTTATTCTACAGATAAAAGGATTTTAAGAAGGGGAGTAACAGTACTGCTGTGTGTTTTATAGAAAAATCTCTTTTACTAGCTCTGTGGAAGCTAGAAAACCATTAAGAGGCTTTTGTGCTAGTCCAGGTAAAGAGAATGCCACTCTAAATTAAGACAAGGCAATAGGGGCTAAAAAAGAGGAAAAAGGACAAGAACGACTTCCATGATAGTTGAGTGACACCAATAATAGGGCATACAGAGCAGGCAATTTTGGGCAGAAAGGCAAATTGAATTTGGAAATGGTGATATTTCAAGAGCTTAAGGAATATCCCGATGCTAATGTTCCGTCTGTTCAGGAAAGAGGCTGGACAGCAGATAAGGATTTGAAAGTTACAGTTACATAGGCAGTGGTTTCAGGTTGTGGACATTAATAAATGTGTTCTGGGAGAGCATGAAGAGTGAGAAGAAGACCAGGCCAGCCGAAGCTTCAGTGGCAGCAGAGGCTGGTCGGAGGGTACAAAGCTACAGTTAGCCAGGAATAAGGTCTTGTGTTCTAGTGTACGTTAAGACTATAGGCAAGGATAATGTATTGTATACTTCCATATAGCTAGAAGAGAGCATCTCCAATGTTCTCACCACAAAGGTGAGACGTGATGGATATGCTAATTACCCTGATCTGACCATTGCACAACATATATATGTATCAAAACTTCATACCGTACCCCATATATATGCACAATTATTGTCTGTCAATTAAAAATGAAGCAAAACTTCCATAAAAAAGAAAAATCACATTTAGGGGGATACTAACATTTAAGCCTCAGCATGAAAAGCCTATTACAACATGCCTCTCTTAAACCAAAAAAAAACAGAACAAACAGACCTGGTCAGCCATTTTGCCAATCCAGTAACACCTTACTTCCCTGCTCCACTTTACGGCAGAACTCGACAGCTGTCTATGCCATCCCTGTTCCCTCTCCTCCCAGGCTCTACCCAAGCACTCTGGGAAGTGCCTCCCGTCACTGTCTTTTGCTCCAGAATCTTCACATTTACTCTTCCTTTTCCAGGAAAGCTCTCCCCGAGACAGACCTTGGCCTGCCTTGCCTGTACTCCCTTGGGGGGGATCTCTGTTCAATGTCAACTCCTTAGAAAGATCTTTCTTACCCTCTGTCCCTCTCTTTACCCTGCTTTGATTTTTCACGGTATTTCTCCTACCAGACACTCTATTAGGTATGTGTTCACTCCTCTTTAAGAACGTGAGCTCTGTGAGGCAAGGACTTGGTCTCAAGTATAGCACGTAGGAGGCAATCAATCTTTGTTGAATGAATAAATTTAGAACAGTATGTCTTAAAACATTAGTGAACCATCCAGAGGCTTGATAAAACATTGCATTTTCCCAGAACTCTTCTCCAGAGATACTGAATTAAACTAAGGGTGGTTCCAGACCCATAATTGGCCTTTTCAACAAGTCACATGTGAGTCCTGAAGACATGACAAGTTTACAGAAGCACCAATGTCAGGGGCAAGTGGGGGACTCATTGAGCGAGAAGGGCCAGAGTGGGGAGGAAAGCAGGCATGGCGAGAGACTGGCAAACACGTGGCACAGAAAGGGCAGGTGTGATCCAAGGGCAGCATCCATCTGTCCACTCAGACTGTGTAATGGAAACAGAAAGAAAATTTCTAATTTCCTGAAAGAAGTTTCAAAGGTAGTTATGGGTTGGAGAGAGCCAGAGTTAGGCTAAAATGTGAGTGGCAGACACGAAGGTGGACTACAGCTGTTAGAAAGGTTAGCTGAGATTTTTAAATTGAGTTAGGGAACTTGATCCTTGGGTTTTAGGACAGCTTGACTGTGAAGGGAAAGAGGAGGAAGAGGAAGAAAAGAACGTGGGTTCCAGAGGAAGCTGAAGGGAAGGGTGAGGCAGAGGAGAAGGGATAACACAGGAAGTGGCGTGTAACCAGTCAAGAGGGGACTAGAATCAAGAGCTGTGGTTTAGTCCCAAAGAGGACAAAAATAGAGATTTCCTCATTTGGTCCTTTTGGAAATTTTTATTTTTACAGAAATATACAGTAGAAAAGCAATGAGTATTAATGAACAATCCTACTTAAAAGAGAGACCACTGGCCATCAGCTTTATATAAACAGATCAGGCTTTCCTTGGCTTTTTTTTTTAAATAGCAAAGTTAACTTTCAACTAAAAGTGTCAGTCAAAGTTATACCACACTTTTTCACTGTGTTTTTCCTAACTGGAAAGGCAGAGTTCCCATGTTAATTAAAGTGAGATTATTAGCTACCTGTCCTGAGTAACTTAAATCAAAAAAAGATTCTAAGGGGAATAAAAATAAAATGAAAATTATTTTTTACCTATGTCCTGCTGAGACCAGTCACCTGGTTTTAGTTTACTAAGTTGAGTTTGAGAAAGGTACCACTGAAATCCCGCATCTAAAGGAACATCAGTGAATCTGATAAATTTATCAATGGTGATCCATTCATCTTCAATGAGGCCGGAAAGGCGTGGAAGGATGTAAAATATGGTCTGAAAAGAGAATTATAAAATCTAAATTTCTTCCTTTAAAAATAACGAAGAAATATACAACACATCTAAAATACAACTTAATTATTAATGATATACTCTCCCAACTATATCTGATCAAATTACATACTTTCATTTATCTCTTATAGCAACTATCTATGTGTATTTCTCATCTTCTCTGAGAAATCAGAGGATTAATTTAGGGAATCTCTGAGAGGAAGCAGAACTTGTACTCCAGTACTTTAGCTGTGTGTAATAAACCAGTGCGTGCCTAATAAAAACAATATTTCAGAAGTAATCAATTCTAACGATGGACAGTATCTGGGTAAGTGCAGTTTACTGATAACTAAGTACCTCCAAAGACAATCAAGCTGAAGCTCTTTTCATGAGAAGTCTTTCACTCTCATACGCATTAGATAAATTCAGAATCTGAATTCTGGTTTGACTAATATAATTAGTTGTGTGATGTTAGGCAAGTGATCCGGCCTTTCTTGGCTTCAACTTCCTCATTTGTAAAATGAGGATAAAATCAGATTACAACAGCATATTAAAGTGTTTTGTGAAAAAGGCATAGTCTGGTACCACTGTAAACAATCCTCACGTAAGCAATCCTCCTTTGTTTTTCTTTTTTTTTGGAGACAGAGTTTCACCCTTGTTGCCCAGGCTGGAGTGCAATGGCGCGATCTTGGCTCACCGCAATCTCCGCCTCTCGAGTTCAAGCAATTCCCCTGCCTCAGCCTCCTGAGTAGCTGGGATTCCAGGCATGCACCACCATGTCTGGCTAATTTTGTATTTTTAGTAGAGACAGGGTTTCTCCATGTTGGTCAGGCTGGTCTTGAACTCCCGACCTCAGGTGATCCGCCCGCCTCGGCCTCCCAAAGTGCTGGGATTATAGGTGTGAGCCACCACGCCCGGCCCTCCTTTGCTTTTCTTACCTACTAAAAGAACTAAACCAGAAAATGACCAACAGTGAAAAGTACATAGGAAGCAGAGGTCCAAGTAACAGGCAACTTAAAAATGAAACAATAAACTGAACAGCATGCACATGTGTTCATGACGGGTTTGAGAATGAATATGGTTTTCTTCATGCCAGTCGTATCTGTGCAAACTCCAACTGTCCTAATGATCACGACTACATGCTGATTAGGGGAGCACCAAGTACAGCTCCAAATATACGAAGAGACACAGTTCTTTTGAACAATTAAGTCCCATTATTTTATTTACATATATAGTTTTAATTCATCTCATTAATGGAGACTAAAACATACAACATATGAGAGTGAGGTGGTCAAAGGCAAGGGTGAGGGGGGCAAGGAGGGAGGCAAAGGACTTACTCCTGTTGGAGAACTGAGTAGGAAAAGGTAGACTTAACACTACAGGGTTACTAGAGGAGTCCTGCAGAAAGATGCCAGACAAAGCATTCTGGACGCTAAAGACACAGAGCAGAGCATGTTAAAAGCTTTGAAAAATCCTAAAGAATATTTGCAGTGAAGCAGCAGAAAATACACATTAGTGTTCTATGATGCATACCTCACAATATATAGATCTATGTATTTTTAAAGACCAGTTTATTAGTAATCTTAGTAATCCACCAAAACACTTGCTTATGCACAGTAGCTTAAGTTACCAATAACTTATAAGTTCTTCAGAGGGAAAGCCCTAGGTCAAATGATTTAAATTCAAGGGCATCACATTATAATTAGAGTTGAAAAAGGGAGAAAGTAACATAATTTATGCAATGACTAATGATTTACATATTGAATTAATTTACATGTTAATCATAATAAGCATGTTTATGGTTCTTAAAATTATATAAGCACGTTTTGTTACAGTCAGTGAGGCGATGTATCATTTGCTATACCATTTTCATTACCCAGAACCTAAAAAATGCCATTAACAAAAGAGTTTATCTTTTTGTTCTTTCATTAACAATGGGCTTCAGTACAATAAAATCTCACCTGCACAAATGTTCTCACTCATTTCCTTTTAATGTCAGAACAGATTTCTGTTTAGAGTTAAATATTCCCTTCCATTGTTTACAAGCCAGACACTGCCTGAGAAATAGAAAGTGAAAATGACTAGCCAATTTTCACTGCTTAAGAGTGAAATGAAAGCAAGTCATCTGCAGAAACTGACAAACTTAAAACTTTAAAATGTTAAGGCGATGTTTGTAAGCAAGAAAAAAGATCTACCCTAATCATAACCTTTCAACAAAAGCAGAGAGGAAGCATCAGGATTAAAGATACAGTGGAGAATTTACAAATGATATTCTCTACTCACCTCTAGACAATAATCCTTGAGTGGGTGAAATGTTGCAAAAAAGAAATGCTCCTGGATGTGTTGCCAATTCTTCTTGGCATTCCTAAGGATTAAAAATAAGGTATGAGCCACAGACAAATGAAACAACTCTGGTGAGGCAGAATCAACTAGATATCTTAAAGAGGGGCTGCAGAGCAGAGTTGAGAAGGAACAGAAAATTTTGTGAATTTTATCCTAAGATTTATACATACCTCTCTAAGATCAACATATATTTTAAAAACAGACACTAAATTTCACATTTTGAAATGGAACCTTAAACCTATGTCTCGCAGTAAACTCTTTATTCCAGGAGGGAAAAACGTTACATAAAAGTCCCTTTTTCTACTCCAAAGACTCACAGCACATAGCCAAACTGTACCCACTTTCACAAACCAGACAAATCTACTATGAGCAGGGTTTAAATTTTTAAAACATCTGTTGTCAAGTTTACGATTTAAAAGGCAAAAAAGGTAGGAATAAAAATTATACAACATGACAGGCAGGTTCCAGATGAAATTCACGATCATCAACCCATAAACTAAGCAGCAATTTCAAGATATTTTTCTGGCAAGATCACTCTCCTGCTCCGACCAATGTATCCACTCCCCAGGGTTCCTATTCCTTACCCGACCCTCTCACTATCAGCAGACAGGTATGCCTCACACATCACGGGGGACAGGAGTGAGAGATCTTTCTTCTTCCTGCCACCTCCTTATACCCACCTATCCTCTTTTCTCCTTCACTTTCAAGAGTGTCTCTTCAAAGGGCAATACCCCCTGAACTGATCTCATTCCCGTGAGTTTTGCCCATCTCCCCCAACGTCTGCATCTCCCCACTTCTCTATTCTAGCCTTTCCTTCAACCTTTTCAAAAGGGCTTTTATATCTAATCTTAAAAAAAAAAAACAAAGCCTTATTAAGTGTCCATCAGTAGTGGACTCGAGATAACTTAAGGCACAGCTATACAATGGAATAGTAGGTAGCTGTTAAAAGAAGAGTCAGTTTACTGGGGTTTCAACTTTGGTGAGAGAAGGGAGGAAGGAGACTGTCTCATTTTTATTTGATGCCTTCCACACTATTCAACTTCCTATCTATGATTATCACTTAAAAACAACTAACATGGCCAGGTGCAGTGGCTCATGCCTGTAATTCCAGCACTTTGGGAGGCCAAGATGGGCGGATCACCTTAGGTTGGGAGTTCAAGACTAACCTGACCAAAATGGAGTAACTCCATCTCTACTAAAAACAAAATTAGCCAGATGTGGTGACACATGCCTGTAATCCCAGCTACTTCAGAGGCTGAGGCAGGAGAATCGCTTGAACCCGGGAGGCGGAGGTTGCAGTCAGCCAAGATAAGGCAATTGTACTCCAGCCTGGGCAACAAGAGCAAAAAAACTCCGTCTCAAAAAAAAAAAAAAAAACAAGGTTACCAAAAATGAAAGAGAAGCCCTCTTTGACAGCATATCCACAACTAGCTGTTGAACTTTCTAATACAGTTTTTTGAGATAATTTTCTAAATAAGTTGGCTATGCCTTACCTTCCTCATCACCTATTTTTTGAAAAATTAATATATAAAATATTTTAACTATTCCAAATATTCAGGTAAAAAAATTATATACACCAATAAACCTACCACTCTGATGTAATATATGTTAATGTATTATCCTATCCACATTTGAACTTCTTTTTTTTTTTTTTTGAGATGGTCTCACTCTGTTGCCAGGCTGGAGTGCAGTGGTGTGATCTCAGGTCACTGCAGCCTCAACTTCTCAGGTTCAGGTGATTCTCCCACCTTAGCCTCCTAAGGAGCCGAGACTACAGGTGCATGTCACCGCCTGGCTAACGTGTGTGTGTGTGTGTGTGTGTGTGTGTGTGTGTGATTTTGCCACATTGCCCAGGCTGATCTTGAACTTCTGATACAAGCAATCCACTCACCTCAGCCTCTCAAAGTGCTGGGATTACAGGCTAGAGTCACTGCACCCGGTCCCCTCTTGGATCCATTTTAATTCGGTTTCAATCCCCCAACTATGCTACCGAAGAGAGCCCACATAGTCAAGTCAATTCTAAGCAAAAAGAACAAAGCTGGAGGCATCATGCTACCTGACTTCAAACTATACTACAAGGCTACAGTAATCAAAACAGCATGGTACTGGTACCAAAACAGAGATATAGACCAATGGAACAGAATACAGGCCTTGGAAGTAATGCCACACATCTACAACTATCTGACCTTTGACAAACCTCACAAAAACAATAGGAAAAGGATTCCCTGCTTAACAAATGGTGCTGGCCATGTGCAGAAAGCTGAAACTGGACCCCTTCCTTATACCTTACACAAAAATTAACTCCAGATGTATTACAGATTTAAACATAAGACCTAACACCCCCTCCATGTCACCTGCTTGATGCCGAGCTTCCATGTATGATTTTGTTTGGGGAATTGGAGAGTTCTCATAGAAAAGAAAAAGAGAAAAGCCTTGAGCTGTAAGTAATATTGAGAGGTTAAGAGCATGTCTTTAAAGTCAGGTCCTGTCACTTCTAAGCAGTCCTCAAACAACAGAGGATGACATTTAGCTATACTGAAGAGAAACATCTAAAAGTATGTAAAAGATTACTTGCACAATAAAAGATTGAGGATAAAAGGGCAATAAGGGGTCAAGGTGGAGCTGACAATTAACTATAATTAACTACACCCCATAGTGAGCTGCTTATGCCTGGCCCAGTCCAAGCCCTCGGTGCTCCAGGACGGCAGAACAAGGATGTGGAAGGAGGAGAAGCTGATGTGGCATGAGCACCGCCCCCTCCCTATGGGCCCTGCTTGGAGGGTGACAAGGATGAAGAGGGCCACAAAGGCTCCTTACCCTGCTCCATGCATGCTTTCCACTTGATGGAGGCTGGATTCAATCACAGGGGTCAGGGCATCAAATTCTTCAACATGTAACTCTTTACACATGGTCCAGAGTTTCTTAAGAGCAACTAAAGCATACAGTCGAACACTGAAATTGTGACTGAAGCACCACTGCAGCACAACAACAAGGGCTTGCTTCAGAGTGAGCTTCTGAAAAGAAAGGCGGTAAACTCTTCAAAACACAGCCATTTTACCCTTACTTGTATGACACAAAAAAGTATCAGAATGATAGAACTGCTCCTAGTATTACTTCTTTGACTGGCTTTGCTACCAGGGCCTCTCACTCTTCCCTCCTGGACAAATTAGGTTCACTGGCATTTGCAGTTTTCTCAAGGAAAAAAAAAATTCTCCCAGCTCTAGTTTTCATTAATGCTGCAGTACATTTTCCCCCCATACTCTAGTACCTGGGTTAATTTGAAAAAAGTACATTTTATGCTAACCATTATACCACTGCAGTCTTTTTCAAATGGAGCCTCCATGACTTATTTTCTTAATTTGTGCTGAAAAGTCAGAAATATTCAAGAGTCCCACTTTTGGCAGCTTGAAAATGCTCCTAGAGTAATATACCACATATAGTGCTGTCTTCCTCCTTGCCACTGATTTCTGAGCTACTCTGCCTTCCCGCACAGTACTGAGTAGTGGCAGGAAAGTTAAGACGTGGGGGGAAAATAATAAAACTGTTTCCATTTCCCTGTAGTCTCTTCCTGTGAACTTCAGTCTTCAGAGCCCAGAGATTTCATGCAATCCCTTGTTTCTAAAATCACATGACTCAACAGATAACTGAAAGTCAAAGGAAGTGACGTGTATTAAAGAAGGAGTAAGACAGATCCAAACTCTTAAGAAAATACCAGAAGCTATTTTGATGCTCCTACCAAATGTACTTCTCCCCTAAGGCTCATGTGGAAATGCTCACCAGGCTGCTCCTGGCAGCCCAGTTTCTACTGACCAAATAAAAACATCCACATTCAAAGAACAGTTTACTAAAGTCATCAGCATGGCTGATAACACACTTCAGTTACCCAAAGTTTCTCTGAGAAAGATAAAAATAGATATAAAGAATCTTCTTTCTCTCACTCCTTTACTCAACATCTCATCATTTACCAAAGGTCAGTGACTGTACTGCCAACATTACGACATGTGATGTTATGATATACCCTGGTTTTTGTCCACAATTCCTGGCTTGTAACTTCCATAGTCCTAGTTACAGTCTTTTGTTATAATGATCTCATTTGGAAGGAAGTCACTCCATGCAGCCCACACTGAAGGAGTGAAAAGTCACGCTCCCCTACAGAACATCTACAAAAATTACTTGTCATTTTTTTATTTGTCTAGTCCATCCCTTTTTTTTTTTTCTTTGAGATGGAGTCTCGCTCTGTCACCCAGGCTGGAGTGTAATGGCACAACTTCAGCTCACCGAAAACTCTGCCTCCCAGATTCAAGCAATTCTCCTGCCTCAGCCTCCTAAGTAGCTAGGATTACAGGCGCCTGCCACCATGCCTGGTTCATTTTTATATTTTTATTAGAGACGGGGTTTCACCATGTTGGCCAGGCTGGTCTCGAACCCCTGACCTCAAGTGATCTGCCTGCCTTGGCCTCTCAAAGTGCTGGGATTACAGGCATGAGCCACCGCACCTGGACTCATTTATTGAGTCAATCATTTATTTACATTGGTGTAGGCTTGGGGATATTTATTTTATTCTTTGAGTTGTAATCCAATACTGCTGTTCTTTGTTGCTCACACTGTTTCAGCTTTAGCCACTGGGAGCACCTTCCCTCTGCACGCCCATCTCACATCACTGTGTGTATGTGTAAAGCTCTGCCTTGCTTTCTGACTCTACAGGATGCTCTAGGCTCATCTTGTATACCTTCTGCCCTAGTTCTAGAATCAAATATTTCTCCAGGGATCCCTGGTTCCTTTTATTGGAGAATGGTGGTAGCAACCAAGATCTTGGAGCTAAGTATACATTACTTGTAAATGAAATAAATAAATAAATAAAACCCACTATAATTCTCAATAGGGAAAGCAGTGCTTCCTATGGAGCCTATGCTCAAAACTGTTGATATTGCAAGTGATTGCTTGGCTGGGCCTTTGAAGACTTAACTGCTGCTTTCATAAATATCAGTGTAAAAGGCTTTCATAAATATCAGTGTAAAAGGCTCTGCTCCTGAATTCTCATGTTCTGCTCACTTTATCCAATAAACAAGCTGACAGGACAATACACAACTATGAGCATAATTAGGAAAGGCTGTTTCTTTCTTCCTTTTTACTTTTATAGAAACACTTTGTGCTCTGACTTTGAAACCACTGCAAAACTGTGACCAAGGCGGTGAAATAGATCTGACCTAACCAACTCTATCTTGCCTCTAACCTCCAGGCTGTCCTTGTTCATTCCTGGGCATAGTTAACTTTGGGAGGCACTTAGTTCATAGTTTAAAACAAAGATGATAACAGCCCTTTCCCAAAATGAACCTCCTTCTTGCCTAAACACTAGACTGCCTTTGCAGGGCTAACAAATTAGCCTCAAGATTAGAAACTATGATTTAGGAGTCATGTAGCTGGAGGCGACAAGATTGTGACCCTCCCTAAACTGCTCCTAATGTTAGTGCTTGAGATATTTTGCAGACCCTGCACTTGATGGATCATCTGATACCACCCAGATTGATAAACTGATCTTGTGGCCCCCACCGTGGAACTGACAGCACAAGAGGATGCCTCAACCCTATGATTTCATCTCCTACCCAACCCATCAACACCCTCGACTCACTGGCCTTCCCTCTCCCACCAAATCATCCTTAAAAATTCTGATCCCTGAATGCTCAGGGAGACTGATTTGAGTAATAAGAAGACTCCAGTCTCCTGCACAAGCAGCTCTGCTTACTCTTTCTCTATTGCAATTCCTGTCTTGATAAATCAGCTCTGTTTAGGCGGCAGAAAAGGTGAGCCCATTGGGCAGTTACAACCTCTGTCGTGTTTGACAATTGTTTTCAATCTCTAATTGCTAGTACAGACCCCATATACAGGTTAAGTAAAACACTTTGAAGAAAACAGAAAGTCTTACGTGATTGCTTCCAAGAAGTCAACCCTACATTTAGCTAGGTAACAGTGGACTTTATGTATTAGAAATGAAGAAACTGACAAAATATATCAGTTTGGCCTTTTCTTAGGTATGTTAAGTCTGGCTTTTTTTTTTTTTTTCCCCTAAGGTGTTGAAATGGAAATTATTCCATTCTACTAATTGGTGTTCCATTTTGGATGCTTGGAAAATAAAAAAATAAATCTAAAATATGTAATATACGGCAAGTACAAAAAGGGCTTGATGGAAAAATAACATTTTTTTTTTATGGGATCTAACATGAACATCTTCTAAGATAAATTCATTTTCAGAATGTGTCTAAACTATTCTTAGGCTATTGATCTACCCTGCAGCAGGACAATGTCTGCTCTGTTTTAGCTTTCACAATAGATTGTAAGCAAATCTCTTTCCTGCACATATTTAAAACAGAAAGATAACATTTGATCTTGTCTGATGCCAGAGCCTTCTTGATCTTATGGAAAGTGTGAACAGGTTTTCCTGGAACTGTAACACACTGCCATCTGGCTGATACACAGTGCAAGACACCATCAATTTAAAAACGTTATCATGATTTTAAAGCTTAAAATGTGGTGTGGAGAAAGGACTGTCTTAGAATTGATGAAACAGGTCAATAAAAAACATATCACCGTCTAAAAACTAGAACACCTTGACAAATTCTAGGCCAGGCACAGTGGCTCGTGCCTGTAATCCCAGCACTTCGGGAGGCCAAGGCGGGTGGATCACGAGGTCCAGAGTTTGAGATCAGCCTGATCAACATGGTGAAACCCTGTCTCTACTGAAAATACAAAATTAGCCAGGCTGGTGCTGTACACCTATAATCCCAGCTACTCCGGAGGCTGAGGCAGGAAAACTGCTTGAACTCGGGAGGCTGAGGTTGTGGTGAGCTGAGAGTGTGCCACTGCACTCCAGCCTGGGCAACAGAGCGAGACTCCATGTCAAAAGAGAATAAAAAAAAAGAGAGAAGAAAAATTCTAGGAAAGCGTATTTTCCCTTATATTTTTATGGTACTTTCAATACTTAATAACACTATTTCAATTAAGTTTTCTCCTAGAGTTTACAGTGTATCAGTACATTCTTCTCAGTGGATATAATAATATAGAATCTTATTCCAAATCTTACTGGCAGGTTCTCCTAAATTCTTCAACAGTTGCCATAGTGATTAACCAAAATTAGTTATGATTTCTGCTCATCTGTGTGAGAACCCACTGGGGACATTGTTCTAAACCTGAGAAACATGAAGTAACTGGACTGCACACTCCAAATGATGACAGTCATTTTATATCACCTTCAGTTGCCCAACAGCTATTAATAGTCTGGCCATAAGTTTCTTTGCATGAGCGTTTGTTAAATAACTACCGTTCAGTCACAGAATGCAGTAAGGAAAGTCCTGTTTAAAGAATCCTGAGTAATCCCAATCCTAAGAATTATAAATAATTCTTAATTTTATACTAGTATCAACAAAAACTTACCTAGTAATTTGTCTATAAATTTGGTATGTACTCAAGCACACCTCAGTGTATATGCATGTCAATGAGTAATTCCATTTACTGGGTATTTGTATCTAATATATGTGGACATTAGCAGGGCAGTGGAAAGGGAGAAACTGAAAAAAACACCACAGAAATGCTCTACATATAAAAAACTGGTACAAATACATAAGATTCTTTTTTTATAGTCAAGTTTAAGTTCTTACAAACAACTTAAAACTCACCTTTTCTGGAATATTTTGAGTAATAATGTCCAAATGTGACAGGACTGCTAAAAATGTGCAAATGCTTGTTTTAAGATTTTCTTCACCCTGAAAAAAGAATCAGATAAACAAATATCCATTCAAAGCTTACTGTGAGCCATGCATGTGCACGGCGCTGGCCATGCTGGACTCTATGAGGGCCCAGGATGGAAGACGGCCTCTTCCCTGAAACAGCCCAAGGTCTGGATGGGAAGGGGGTTGGCGGGGGAGGAGCAGGAAAGCAAAGAAAATAACTTCCCAGAGGCAAATGTCAGTGCACACAAAAATCAACAGGTCACGTAAAGTATTAACTAACTCAACTCTAAGTACAGCAGGGCTGGGCGCAGTGGCTCACACCTATAATCCCAGCACTTCAGGAGGCCTGAGGTAGGCAGATCACTTGAGGCCAGGGGTTTGAGATCAGCGTGGCCACCATGGTGAAACCCCGTCTCTATCAAAAAATACAAAAATCTGCTGGGCGTGGTAGTGCACACCTGTAGTCCCAGCTACTGGGGAGGCTGAGGTGGAAGAATCGCCTGAACCCAGGAAACAGAGGCTGCAGTGAGCCGAGATCGCACCACTGTACTCCAGCCTGGGCAACAGAGCGAGACGCTGTCTCAAAAAGTCTCCAGAAAATAAAGTACAGTGTGACCTGTGACCTCTGTATGCATGGGTTCTGCATCCATGAGTTCACCGACCATGAACGGAAAATATTTAACGAAAATAAAAATTTAAAAAACACAATGCAATTAAAAATACAAATAAAATTAAAAACCATGTAACAGCTATTTACATAGCATGTACATTACATTATACATTATAAGTTATATAAGATTATTAAAGTATATGGGAGGATGCATGTCAGTTACATGCAAATACTATGCCATTCTAAATAAAGGACTTGGCCAGGCATGGTGGCTCAAGCCTGTATGTAATCCCAGAACTTTGGGAGGCTGAGGTAGGCGGATCATGAGGTCAAGAGATCCAGACCATCCTGGCCAACATGGTAAAACCTCATCTCTACTAAAAAATACAAAAATTAAGTGGGCGTGGTGGCATGTGTCTGCAGTCCCAGCTACTTGGGAGGCTGAGGCAGGAGAATCACTTGAACCCGGGTGGTGGTGGTTGCAGTGAGCCGAGATTGTGTCATTGCACTCCAGCCTGGCAACAGAGCAAGACTCTCTCTCATTCATTCATTCATAAATGAATAAATAGGACTTGAGCATTTTCAGGTTTTGGCATCCGTGGGGGGCCTGGAACCAATCCCCCACAGATACCAAGGGTTGACTATACATGGCAGAGCCAAGGGCATGCTCACTTCAGGAGAGGTGATGCCTTCAGGATGGGAAGGACTGGCCTGGAGAAGGAGCAGGAAGGTGAGAGAACAGGTAAGTGAATAAGAACAAAGACTCAAAGGCAAACTTAAGGGAAAGGCACCGAGAAGAGATAAAGCCAGCTGGGCAGGGAGGGATGGGGAAAAGGCTCTAAAGTTAAATGGAATCACACTGTAGAGGCTTTAAAAAGGTATAGTGAAAAGCTATGTCACACTTAATCAGCCATCTTGAGGAAAATTTCCAAAAAAGACTGTTCAACTAGAATCTGGAAACCTCCATAATAGTGGTTTAGAATAATACATTATTTTAGTGATAATAAACTGATATATGCCAGACAGACTGGAAAGAAAAGAGCATATAAGCAGGAAGATCAGTTTGGAAACCTCTCCAAGAGGCAAATCAGATGATTATTTAATTCCTTTATTTAATTAATAGTTAATGAATGTCTTCTACATAACAGTTACTATAGAAACAAGTTCCTGTAATGTAAAAATCTACTAGAGAAGAAAAAAATCAAATCAGATTAAAATTCTAACTATAAGCAGTAATATTTATGTGCTGTGAAAACCTAAAATAAGGCGATCTAAATACTCCGGGAGGCAACTTCCTTTAACAATGACGATACAAGCCAGGTGCAGTGGCTCCTGATTACAGTCCCAGCACTTTGGGAGGCCAACGCAGAAGGATCACTTGAGGCCAGAAGTTCTAGACCAGCTCAGGCAACATAACAAGACTTCATCTCTATAAAAAATTTAGAAAAAAATTAGCCAGGCATGGTGGCATGTGCTTACAGTCTCAGCTACTCAGGAGGCTGAGGTGGGAGGATTATTTGAGCCCAGTTGTTCAAGACCCTGCAGTGACCTATAATCACCTAAGTGACAGAGCAAGACTGTCTCAAAAATAAAAAAAAGAAGACACGAGAACTGAGAACTGAGATGTGAAGGGAAAGAAAGAGTTAACTAGATAAAGAGAAGAAAGACTATTTTGTGTAGAGGGCACAACACGTGCGACAGCCTGAAACCAAAAGGACTAGTGATGAGCATGAAAGATTAAAAAGGTCAGTGTGGTACTCAGTTATCCCAGGTGGCCCCCAGTCAACCAACCCTCCCTATGCATGCCCCATGCAGGCCCCTTCCACCCTAGCAGGGATGGTCATATGATTTGCTCTGGCCAATGAACATTAGCAAGCCTGATGCACCCAAAGGCTGGATGAGCACTTGTACACCTCCTACCCGGAATGCTCATTCTTGGAGCTCTGAATATAAAGAGGTCCAGCTACTTTGCTGGAGACATGGAGTGGCAGCGATGTCAGTCACCAGAGCTGCTCCTGCTATTGCAGCTGAGGTGACAAATATGTGAGCAAAGAACCCATTTAAAAATCCCAGACCCAGAAGATACCACAAGGTGCAAAACTGCCCAGCCAGGACCAGACAACACACACATCATGAAAAAGAACAAAACACCATTTAGGCTGGGTAGGGTGGCTCACACCTGTAATCCCAGCACTTTGGGAGGCCAAGGCAGGTGGATCACCAGAGGTCAGGAATTTAAGACCAGCCTGGCCAACATGGTGAAATCCTGTCTCTACTAAAAATACAAAATTTATTTAGCCAGGCACAATGGCAGGTGCCTGTAATCCCAGCTACTTGGGAGGCTGAGGCAGGAGAATCACTTGAACCTGGGAAGCATAGGTTGCAGTGAGCTGAGATCGCACCACTGCACTCCAGCCTGGGCAACAAGAGTGAAATTCCACCTCAAAAAAAATTCGTTTACACCACGAAATTTTGGAGAGTGTGTGGAACTCTCCAAAATGGAAAACAGACAATCAATGTGACTAATGTAGCAAACTGGGAATGGACCACACACAGAGAGACTAGAGAGGAAAGGGGCCTATGATCATGCAAGCCTTATGGGACACTCCGGAGAATGTAGCCTTTGTCCTGAGAAGTCGTAAGACACTGTCTTCAGCAGGTGGGGTCATCTGTTCAAATTCTCATTGTGGAAACCCTGCCTGGGCTTCAGGGTGGACAGCAGATGGAAACAGAGGCAAGAGTGGATGCAGGCAGCCCAGTGAGGGAACCACTGCAAGATGACAGTAGTGTGGACCAAGATACAATGGCAGACAGTCGAGAGAGAACTCAGAAATATGCAGGCAGAAAGATCAGGACCTGGTCATGAATCAGACCCAGAGCATGGAAAGTCTCCAGGTGTCTGGTTTGTGCAACTGTACAGATAGTGGTGGTGTTCACTAGAGTAGGAAGAAGACCAAGTTTGGGGGAAAAAATAAGGCACTCAGTATTCAACATTTACATTTTGGATAATTTAGTCTAAGGGAAAATCATCTACAAGGAAAACATCTACAGCAAGGGACAGAAAACTTGTTCTGTAAAGGGCCCAGGAATAAATAAAAATACGACTTTGCGGTCTACACAGTCTTTATTCCAACTGTTCAACTCTGCCATGGTAGCACAAACACAGCCAAAGACAGTATGAAAATGCATGGGCATAGCTGTCTTCCAGTATAACTCTGCCAGGCCAAATTTGGCTGTAGCTTGCCAACCCCTGATCTAGAGCTTAGGGGAAGAGGTGTGGCATACAAAGAAAAATTAGTAAGTCACTCACATTAGGTAACACCTGAATCCACAACACAGGTAAGACTGACTACAAAAAGAGGAAAAAAAAAAATAAGGAAAAACGAAAGCCTAGCCCTAGAGAAGTACCACCGTTTAAGAGGTGGGCAGGGAAGGAAACGCCTGGAAAGGACACAGAAAACAGGGCAGGAAGAACCAGAAAAGTGTGTGTCACTAGAACCGAGAATTAAGAAAATGGTCAGCAGCATGCATGCAGCCTAGAGAAGATGACAAACGCCGACCAGTGACTCATGGAGGTCACCCTTGACCCCAGCAATGGCGTCTTCTGAGAAGTGACTGAACTGGAAGCTGGTTTACCATGGATTCCAGAGTGGGTTGGGAAGGATGTCAAAAGTTAAGGCCCGTTGCCATGGCTCACACCTGTAATCCCAGCACTTTGGGAGGCTGAAGTGGGCAGATCACCTGAGGTAAGGAGTTTAAGACCAGCCTGGCCAACATGGTGAAACCCTGTCTTTACTAAAAATACAAAAATTAGCCAGGCATGGTGGCGGGTGCCTGTAGTCCCAGCTACTCAGGAGGCTGAGGCAGGAGAATCGCTTGAAGCTGGGAGGCGGAGATTGCAGTGAGCCGAGATCACACTACTGCACTCCAGCCTGGGCATCAGAGCAAGACTCTGCCTCAAATAAATAAATAAATAAGTACATTTAAAAACCTGTGAACACAAGCACCTCTTTCAGAAGTCTGACAATGAAATAGTAGAGAGCCACGGTGATTATAGGAGAGGGATGAGAAAACATCCGTGTAAATAGCCATAGAAAATGGATGCCAAGTCAAGAAAAGCCTATGGACCATTTGGTTAAGGAGAGACTGAGGAGAGAAGACAGGCTGACAGCAACAAATGACGAAGAAGGCAGGAGGCAAGAGGGCCAAAGAGCCAGTGGAAGCATTACTCTGGCACTGGAGAAGATTCTCATTCTTTATGGTAAAGGAGGGAAGAAATCTCAGATGGATACTGACATAGGCAGATTTGTCGGATTGCTATTGAGAAGATACAGGTATTCCTATGTGGTAGTTGTCATTTAAAAAATAAAGGGTAAGGTAATTTGCTTCAAATAAAGGAGGAAAAGGTGTAGTGGACCCTTTCTTTGATATGTATCCTGAATCCCCTTCCAGGATTAGGGAACTCTTCCATCTTATCATCTTCCCAGCCTCCTTGCCACTAACAAAAAGGCACCTGACCCGGTTCCAAAGACCCCACTTCCAATTTCTAAACTGAGAACTTACAACTCTCCACTGCAGGTTGCAGAGACAGCAGGTATACAGTTGGCTACGGCAGAGCCCTGCTGAAGTCGCCGTATGTCCAGTGGGGTGATGTCCCCAGTGAACCAGCTCTCTCTGGCTTGCCTGTGGCTGCTGTTCTGGAAGCCACTGAGCCTCCCCTCACTGCCAATTTTCCAGACCTGATTCTGTAGCTTTCCCAGCATTCTGTAAGCTACCTACTACTACCCTCTTACCCACTACCTTTTGGCTTCCATCAGCAAAAGCTTCCTCTGCCTACATCAAAAAAAAACTCCGATGTCCACAGGATAAAATCAGATTCAAAGAGAATATACAAGGTCTAAGGACAAGTAAGAGGCTGAGCTAAGCAAAACAACGACGACAAACTAACAACTGGCACTACTGTGGACGGGAGCATTAGGAAGTTTGGGGGGTACACCAGAACCAATCCGCTCTTTGTGAGAATTCCTAGGGTGGCACTAACGCATTTGAGAGTTGTCACGAACAAACTATATTAATAAAGCCATAGGTCTAAAAAGCAAAGAAAAAGAATCTGTTTCTTCATTAAAGTAACATGAAGATGAGAAAGAGGAGCCGAGGAGCCTGGGAAGAGGTCAAAATTTCTGAGATGGAGTCTCACTTTGATGTGATGCCATCTCGGCTCACTGCAACCTCTGCCTCCCTAGATTCAAGCGACTCTCCTGCCTCAGCCTCCCAAGTAGCTGGGACCACAGTGCACCACCTCGCCTGGCTAATTTCTGTATTTTTAGTAGAGACAGGGTTTGACCATGTTGGCCAGGCTGGTCTCAAACTACCTGACCTCAAGTGATTTTCCCGCCTTGGCCTCTAAAAGTGTTGGGATTACAGGCCAAAGCACTGTTATTTCTTAGTGGTGTGGCAACTGTATTAATCATTGCTTTCTTCCTAAGGGTAAAAATCCCAAACCTGTCTTTGAGGATTATTGTGAGGCTGCTATTGCTGCTGCTTATGGTGACACCCAAGTTTGAAGCTAGGAGACTGGGAGAATGAAAGACATCAGAAAGGGGAGCCAATTTTAGGGCAAGATGCTATTACCAGTTTAGTTTAACACAGGGTGAAGTTTGAAGTGACTGTGGAAAGACCTTGCAGGTGGCTGGAGAAGCAGGGATGGGCTTTACTATGCTAAGGGAGCACAGAAAGAGAAGCAAACGGGCAAACCAGCAATTCTTCAGATAAAACCAAGTGTAAAGGTTGGGAGAGAGAAGCAAGCATGTGAAGGAAATAGAGAAGCTACCAGCACAAACAGGAAGGGAGTTATGAAGTTGACTGCAGTGTAAGGGTCAGCTGTGGAGAAAGCCACCACCAACAGGAAGGCGTGAAATGAAAGGGGGCAGTACGAAAGAAAAGGGAAAGGCTGCCTGCAGCTCAGAGGAAATCCTTGATGTACCACTGCTGAAAATGGAGTGGACCAAAGTGGCTTGAGGCAGGCAAAGATCACGTATTGAAGTTTCACGGTAGAGAAAAGAAGACACTGGATGAGAGCTGGCTGGAGGAAAAGTCAGCAGAACAAGGATGAAGAATTTGGTGAGGTCACAAAGGAGATACAATCAGGTCACAGGGGATAGGTGTGAAAAAAGAATAAGGACATCTCTCCTGAAATAAGAAGAAACAGGGAAAGAGATACTTTGAGAAAGTCACCTCCATTTTCACACAAAGTAGAAGACAAGATCATCTATTATGAAAGGGAAAGGTGAATCTGGGAACCAAAAGAAAGCATTTGAGATTTAGAAATGATACTTAGAAACAAGTTGCTATCTGTAAGGAAGCCAGCAATTACAGACTCTATCACTAATTTCAGCATCAATTCCTTAAAAAGGACTTTCAATATATGAGAAATGTTGGAAAGGGATTAGGGGAGTGTGTGAGGGTACAGATGAAAAAAGAAAGGAAATGACTGATAATACTTCTATTCTTTCTATTTGGATCATGTTTGAAATCTCCCAAAACCTTTTTTTTAATTTTAAGAAATGCAATTAATTCCTGATCATTAATATTTCTAAGATCAAACAAAGCCATTGCTTAGTAAATAAGAATATACAAAGCACCTATTTCCCTCATTAAGACAAACTCCTTTTCCATTTTTATTTTATTGAACAGAACAGCTCTCAAATAAAAACCATGAAATACTCAATATGAATGCCAGGGATTTCTGTCTTCTGAATTAATTCAGATCTTGCAAAACATAACTTATGTCAATACATTAGGGCAAATGAGAGTAAATAAGACTATTTAAGTGAAACAAATCTCTCAGCATTGTCAGAATCATTTCCTACTTTAAAAAAAAATATTTTAAAAAGTTCTTTACTTACATAAGAAAAACAATCCCAGAACTTTGGAAGAAATTGAGGGAATTTATGAAGAATCAATATAATAATCCATTCTATAAAATATTTTATGGAAGCTTGATTATTGATGAAACCAGCCTGGAATATCCTGTCAATAATTCCATTCAGGAAATTCTGAGAAAAAGAAAGTTCACAATTAAACAGTTACAGTTATTCATTTTAATTTACAGTCTCCATTTAAAATAAAATGGCTTGAAGTTTTTTTATTGTAAGCAGTTTATTGAATCTACAACTCTCCAAGCGAAGACACTAAAACCACTGATTAAAATATAATGATGAAGTACCTTCATTCAGTACTTTATAATTTACCTGGACATCAGTTCTGTGTATAAGGAAGGTTATTTATCACTTGTACTTTAAAGGGAAAGGAAAAGATTCAGAAAAGCTGAATAACCTTCCCAAAGTCACATACCTAGTGAGTGGAAGAAGTCAGGTTCAAATCAAGATCTGCCAGGATGCCAGGGCTTAAACCTTGTGACAAGGGATGGTACAGAGACTGAAGTCAGCAGGCGGGAAACAGCATCCCAGAGGGGCAGGTCTCAGGCCACTGAGCCCTCTGTTCAGGTTCCTCGTCCTCCTACCCACAGGGTCTGTGCTGCCCCACAACTACTGCACTATCTCTGGCTCCAAAATCATCCTTCCCCCTTCCACCCTCTCCTCTTCAAAACTGTATTTCTATCTGGGGGACCGAACCTATCTAAGTAGCAAGTGAAAACCAGTATCTACTTAAATAAGCATCTACAGGCAATATGTCTTATGTACATTTCTTTAGTTTAAAGAAGAAAAGGCCAGGCACAAAGTGTTGCCTGTAATCCCAGCACTTTGGGAGACCGAGGCAGGTGGATCACTAGGTCAAGAGATTGAGATCATCTGGCCAACATGGTGAAACCCCATTTCTACTAAAAACACAAAAATTAGCTGGTCGTGGTGGCGTGCACCTGTAATCCCAACTACTTTGGAGTCTAAGGCAGGAGAATTGCTTGAACCCGGTAGGGGGAGATTTCAGTGAGCCAAGATCATGCCACTGCACTCCAGCCTGGCAACACAGCGAGACAAAGAAGGACGAAAAATCTATCTTACAAAAATTTCTACTTGGTAGAAAAAAAGCAAAAGGGCTCGTTTTAAGCCCTGAGAGTGCTGTAAAGTGGAGCATGAATTGTGTAGTTAGGCTTGATTTTGAATTCCACCTCTACCATTCACCACCAGCTGTATTACCTCACAGGCAGGACACCTAACCTCTCCGAACTGCAGTGCTCTTCGAGGCAAAATGAGAATATGTATGGCCTACCTTGGAAGAGTATCAGGGAGGTTAAACAAAACCGTAAGATCTAACAGTTTCTAACTCTGAGCTCCTTTTCCTGGCAGGTGTGCCTGGTCACGTCCCCACCCTCTCCAACATTACCTTCTCTCTAGAAGGGCCTCTCCATTCTAAGAAAAAAATGCTCTCAGTAATCTAGTCGAGCATTTCTAAAATGTTTCCTTTCTTAATACATCTTTATGTTTAATGACGCATTTTAAATCAAATAATACTAAGAGACCTATGATGAAAAACAGCAACCTCCCCTACACCCCCATATCCAACAAAACCACTCCCCGGAAGCAATTCTTTTAGGTATTTCCTTTCAAATTATTCAACATAGTTATATTTGAATATACTTATTTATTTACACTGTTTTGAAATGTTTCTCTCTCACAGATATAAGACTTCATAAAATTGTAAAAAAAAAAAAAAAAAGAGGCTGGTATATATTTTTTAATTCTCTCACACATTTAAAAGAAGGTAGGGAGAACAGTGGGAAATTTCAAAGTCTGAAAGATGTTTTTTTACATTGAAAAATGTTTTTAAAAATTGCATGATCATATGCCATCGCTTTCCCATAATGATGATCTATTTTCTTAGCAGGAAGATTAAGCAAAGGTGGTTAGAAAAATCAAATCCTTCATTCAAAACTGTTTCTTGCCTCCTCAGAGAAGAGAAAAGGTACCTTTGGATAAAGATACCTTGCCTTTCCTTAGCTGGTTTATGTGGTCACACTATTCATGAAATCAAGAGCAAGGAAATCCACCATGTGAAACAACATTCCCATCCCAAACCATACAACTTGCCTAGTTTCTAGGTATACATAATCCAAAATAGTAACACTCTAAAGTAACTTAGCTATAGCAAATTCGGAGTTAAGTATTTGCATTTTCTTATCAAATGGCAAAAGAGACTTTAAACAGTTAAAATGTTACAATAAAATACTAAAGAGAAAAAGTATTAAATGGGGCCATGTAAACCAACTTTGAACTTATTTTTATAATACCTAATTGCCTTGGTATTCTCTCTGTTAATAAAAACTTTTGAGTAACTTCAATTTAAAAAAGTAAAGTATAAATTTTAACCATTTTTTCCAATTTTAAAATAGTATATGACAGTTTCTGCAAAATAGTTTAGCCATAAAATCATATGGGTCAAAGGTACAAATATAGTAAATAAAAATATGATACCTGATCAAGTCTAGGGAAAAGTACAAGCAGAGCCTGCCATATGCGGTTTTTCACTCTGTGCTGTAGAGAATTCACATAGTAGCGTCTTTTGGACTTGGACACTAATTCATCCTGAAAAGGAGAGGGGGAGTCAATACTAAATTATTTATTCAATTTGTAATTAATGAAAAAAATCAATGACAACTTGAAATTAAAAGGCTTAAATCAGTCATAAGGGCTTTCCCCGCCCCCCAAAAAAAGCTGTTAGGAGGATGAGAAAAAGAATGGCACCTTAAAAATTTTCAAACATTGACATTTTGGGCTGAGTAGTAAGAAAAATAAATTTTTTTTTTAAATAAAACATTGCATACACTGAACTTAGCTGCTTTTGTTTAACTTAACTGTTTTATTGTTTTTCCTTTTTCGAGATGGAGTCTCACTCTATTGCCCAGGCTGGGGTGCAGTGGTGCCATCTCAGCTCAGTGCAACCTCTGCCTCCCAGGTTCCAGCGATTATTCTCCTGCCTCAGCCTCCTGAGTAGCTGGGATTACAGGTGCATGCCATCATGCCCAGATAATTTTTGTATTTTTAGTAGAGACAGGGTTTCACCATGTTGGCCAGGCTGGAGCTCCTGACCTCAGGTGATCTGCCTGCCTCAGCCTCCCAAAGTACTAGCTAGGATTGCAGGCATGAGGCACCACACCCGGCCACGTGTTTTTAAAATTAGAAGAGAGGCTAAAAAACTGGGAGCTATGGGTCACAGGGGCGAGAAGAGATTGACGTACTGGACATACATTGCCACATATTACCATGTACCTCAGGGGCACCTCTCACCTTGTGCACCCTTGTCATATTCACGTTTGGAATACTGCTACCTACAATCTGATGCAAATACCACTAAGACAGAAGCCACCCCAGTACATGGACAGTGCAAGGCATCTCTACGCATGATGTGTCCCTAGATACAAGAAAATGGCAGCACTGGAGCCTTTCATATTAGCAGAGAGCTCTCCCCGGCTTTTCTTGGCTTGTGCCACCTAAATGCAGCCAGCTGCAAAGTTTGCTTTTATTACCATAATTACTAGTGCTCTGGCTGCAAAGCAAGATGGCACTGAAGAGTATGTCAACATTTTCAAACGTCTTAAAGGTGAAGTCACTCACCACCTCCAAAGCCATTTTCACATAATGCAGACGATCCTCATCTACTTCTTAAGTTCTCTGACCTTTCTTCTTCCATAATCTCATTCTCTGCATTTAGGTGTGTACAAAGTTTCATGACAATAGCTAAATTAATATTGATTTTAATGACTCCCAGTGATATTTACAATCTCATAATCTCTAAATAATTTCTTTTAGAAAATTTTCTTCTGATATAGGTGTATTTAGGTTTCATTTATTGCGCAACCTCAACGCAACTAAAGATGGAATCAGCAGAGTAGATCACTCATGCATTCAGAAGATGCATCGGCATGTCAATAAAGCTGCCTGTAGGACCTCACCAAGTCACTGTCCTCAACTGGAAGTTGAGGATTCTAAAATTCCCTTCTCAGCTCAAAATCTTATTCTGTCCTACCTGTTCCACTCAATGTGCTCCTTTTCAGAATATCTTTTCTCTACTAGTCTGTTCAACTTATTGCCAGGTATTACTGAAGAAAACTAAAATCACCAACCACAACTGACTTCATTAAAAATACATATTCCACACAATGGAGCACCATTCAGCCATAAAAAGAATGAAATCCTCTCGTCTGCAACAACTTGGATGGAACTGGAGGTCATTATGTTAAGTGAAATAAGCCAGGCACAAAAAGACAAACTTCGCATGTTTTCACTTATTTGTGGGAGCTAAAAAATAAAACAATTGAACTCATGGAAATAGAAAATAGAATGGCGGTTGCCACAGAAGCTGAGACGGGTAGTGGTGGTTGGGAGAGGATGTATGGAGCATAAAAATATACTTAGATAGAGGCCGGGCACGGTGGCTCACACCTGTAATCCCAGCACTTTGGGAGGCCGAGGCAGGTACATCACTTAAGGTCGGGAGTTCAAGACCAGCCTGATCAACATAGACAAACCCCGTCTCTACTAAAAATACAGAATTCGCCAGGCATGGTGGCGCATGCCTGTAATCCCAGCTACTCGGGAGGCTGAGGCAGGAGAATCGCTTGAAACTGAGAGGTGGAGGTTGTGGTGGGCCAAGATCGCACCACTGCACTCCAGCCTGGGCAACAAGAGCAAAACTACATCTCCAAAAAAAAAAAAGAAAAAAAAGAAAAGAAAAAGATATATATATGTATTAAGATTGAATTTGACAACACAACAGGGTGGCTACAGTCTACAGTAAGTTATTGTACATTTTAAAATAACTAAGAGTATAACTAGATTGTAACATAAAGGGTAAATGCTTAAGATATCTCATTTACCTGATGGAATTATTACACATAATATGCCTACATCAAAATATCTCATATACCCCATAAACATATACACCTACTATAGACCCACAAAAATTAAAAGTTTAAAAATATGTACTCCAGCTGTTCTATCTGGGCCTTCATTATTGCTAGACCAGTAGTTCTTAAACTGTATCAGCTCCAGAATCACCAGAAAGGCTTGTTAAAACAGACTGCTGGGCACCGCCCCCAGAGCTTCTGATTCAGTAGACTGGGGCAGGGACTACCAATATGAATTTCTAACAAGTTCCCAAGGGATGCTGAGGCTGCTGATCCAGAGATCACACTTTAGCATTAGTGTACTGGACAAGTGTTTTGCTTTTTCAAGTCTGCTTTCCAAAGAAGCTGCACCGTTTTGTATTCCTATTAGCAATGTATGAGGGTTCCAATTTTGCTACCTCCTCACCAAAGCTCATTATTTTTAGTTTCTTTTCTTAACAGCCATCCAGTGGGTATGAGTGGCTAGTATTTCACCTGTGTGATTATTGCTGGCCTCCCCCTGTCATTCTTCCCTCTCTACTGGAGCATTTATTTCAACATGCAAACTAATTATGCTCCAATTATCTCCCATCTTTAAAAAGCCCCTTCTTGAACTCCAGGTTCCCCTCCAGGAACCACCCCTTTTACTCCCTCTTTTCTAGGACAAACTCCTAAGAGAGTCTATACTCACTGTCTCTACTCGATCAAGTTCCATTTTCTTCTGGGCCCATTGTATTTAGGTTCTCATCCCACCATTTCACTGAAATGCCTTTGTCAAGGTGACCAAGACAGCTGATCTAATGGCCGGCCTGAGGCCTCCTAACCCTCCAAGCAGGACTTCCTTTCCCTGCTCGGTCTCGGAACAGCATCCTCTCCTGGTATCCTCCTTTATTCACCCAGAGCTCAACCCAAATGTCACCTGATTAGACCCTCCTGACCCCCTCTTTTTTTTCTGAATACTTTTTTTTTTAGCAATGTAATCTCACTCACTGTGTTGCCCAGGCTGGTTTCAAACTACTGACCTCAAGCAATCCTCCTGCCTCGGCCTTCCAAAGTGCTAGGACTACAAGCATGAGCCACCATGCCTAGCCCTGACCCCCTATCTAAATACTAAATACATATTAAAACATGTATTTTTGTTCTGATAGAAGACCCATACCCAGTTCCCATCACTTTAAACTATACCCATCTTTTAGAAAAGCAGTAACATACTATTTCCTCTGGGGCATCTTCCTTGACTTCAACACTGCAGAGGGAACTGCTGCATAAAAAATACTTCCTAGGTTTTATATAATAAAGCTGACTTGCTACCTTCAAAAAATAAAAGTATGATGAACACTCCTGTTTTAACACAGGAACTTACATGAGTTCTGTAATCATCCATATGTCCACACCAAGGTCAGAAAGCAGACCAGGCACCCCCCTGACCTCGGCTTTACATGACAGGTAACTCTATCTGTCATTTAAACATTCAGGCAGGGCGCGGTGGCTCAAGCCTGTAATCCCAGCACTTTGGGAGGCCGAGGCAGGTGGATCACGAGGTCAACAGATCGAGACAATCATGGTCAACATGGTGAAACCCCGTCTCTACTAAAAATACAAAAAAATTAGCTGGGCATGGTGGCACATGCCTGGAATCCCAGCTACTCGGGAGGCTGAGGCAGGAGAATTGCCTGAACCCAGGAGGCGGAGGTTGCGGTGAGCCAAGATTGCGCCATTGCACTCCATCCTGGGTAACAAGAGTGAAACTCTGTCTCAAAAAAAAAAAAAAAAATTCATTGGGGAACAGAGCACCATGCACAACTCTTCTGTACCCCTTCTTATCTAACAACTCCCCAGATTTACTAAACCTGTTCTCCAGACGCTATGATGTTCATTTAGAAACGATTAAGCAGACTAAAGAACAATGTAACTGAATTGTTTTTATCTGAATAGATAAGGAATTTTCATCAATCTTAGACAAACATCACATATCCAGATCTAGAAATAACAATATAATATACTGGAAGCATATCCTGGGGTAATCTTTCATGGGCTCTCAAATCACAGCAATCAATTCCTAACATTTGATGCCATTTTCTCAGTTTTTACTTTTTCATTCCATTTCTTACATAGAGCAATGTATGAATATAGCACTTTAAACATAACTAGGGCCAAGCACAGTAGCTCACACCTCTAATCCCAGCATTTTGGGAGGCCAAGGCGAGCGGATCACTTGAGGTCAGGAGTTTGAGACCAGCCTGGCCTACATGGAATGAAACCCTGTCTCTACCAAAAATACAAAAAATTAGCCAGGCGTGGTGGCGGGTGCCTGTAATCCCAGCTATTCAGGTGGCTGAGGCAAGAGAATTCGCTTGAACCTGGGAGGCAGAGGTTGCAGTGAGCAGAGATCCGAGATCATGGCATTGCACTCCAACCTGGGCAACAAAGCAAGACTCCATTTCAAAAAAACAAAAACCAAACAAACAAAAAACATAACCAGGTTTGACTGGTACGGGAAAATACAGAGTGAAGTATAGATGGTACAGGAAAACATTACCATTATTGTTCGCTAAAACCAAACTTAAGTTGGATAATTACTAACCAAGATTTTTTTTTCTTTTTGCCAAGAGGCTTTTTTTTCTTTTTTTAATTTAAGACTGGCTCCACTGAGGATTTGAACCAGCAACCTTGCAGTTACAAGCCCTATACCTTAACTACTGGACTAACAGGCCACTTTCTTTTTTTCTTTTTGTAGAGACAAGGTCTCACTATGTTGGCCCAGCTGGTTGCAAACTCCTGGCCTCCCAAAGTGCTAGCATTATAGGCATGAGGCACAATGACCACCCTAACCAAGACTGAATTAAAAACACAGAACATAAACTCTGTGTTTTCTCCTGACAGAATAGATTTAAAAGTACATATTTCAGCAACATAAAGAGCAGATGCTGACCTCTGACTTGTTAAAAACAAAGATAATTTAAAGTAAAATATAATTACTTTATCTAACAGCTTGATTGCAAGATCCTCCATAAACAACTTGTGGGACATATTGGAGCCATCTAATAAACACAGGAATTTGATAGCACAAATTCTCACATAATGGTCTTCTCTCTTAGTACTAAAAATATTAAATGATAAATTGTTAACATATTTTGAAAACAGAAAGATAACATCAAATATTAGTTTCAAATATCATTACATGATCAAAACCACTCGAAGTTTTCTAAAATTAAGTAGGTCCATACTTAACGACAATACTTTTAAATTCAGAATAGATAACAGAAGATGACAAATGAATATATTACAAGGAGGGTCTGTACAGAAAATATGAGTGAGCACAAATTAATCTAGGCTTCCGGAGAATCAGTGCACACGCTGTTGAACCTAGGTTAATAATACCTTATCTGTGGACAAAACAGATCACAGCTCACGAGCCTGTCCCTGAAAGAGGACCACAGACACCTCCGTTCACTCAGGGGCATGAATGCATGTCAAACACGTCAATGGCCTGTCTCTACCACGTGCTATCAGTGCACATTCCCCAAATGAGGGGCAAACTCAGGAAGCACTGTGTGCTCTGAACACGCGGCATTTTCAGTAGCCAAATGTGGAGGGATAAATAAAGTGAAATTGTTAGTATTTTCACATTCCATTATAATTGTTGTAATGTGAATATATACTTAAATTTAATAACAAAGCAACTGTCAGGTAGAAATCAAAATCAAATTATCTGGCAACCACCAACTAGAAAAATTCACTTTTATTGCCACACTAAGCCAACCAAGAAAAAATAACTAAAAACAATGAAAAAACTATATATATTTAATGAGGAAGGACAGATGATTTAAAACATAGGACTCTCAGAATAATAAATACTTTATGATATCTAAATATTATAATCATGTGATGTCCTAAACTCTAAAATGAGAGTGAATGATACAATGCTATTTTTATCTTCTTTATAAACACACATACACATTTTCGAAAGCCATGTGAAAAAATAAAACTTGAAAAAAAGCTATTTGGCAAGCTCCAAAAAAATTAATTCAGTGGTTAGATAAAAATAGTCTTAGCCCAGAAATCAAAACTTTAGGGCCTATCCCCAGACTCATCAAGTTGTACACATTAACTATGTATAGCTTTTTACATGTCAATCATACCTCAATCAAGAGTTTTTTAAAAACCAAAAAATGTTATAATCTGTTCCAAGAGTAATTCTATTTTTGTGTGTAACATACCAACTTGTTAAATGGTGAATTTTAATTTCATATTAAACTTTACAGCCAAAAAAAGGACTGGAGAATGAAGTGTCTGTGCTGATGATCATCCTACCCCACAAAAGAAAGACAGGGGTTTCAAGTTCTCCTGAGTAATTTCCTTGTTTATGCTGGACTCTGCACTAAAAACTTTTAAAATGTTACCAAATTTTAGTGAACAGTGAAATATGTAAAGACAGTATATTAGCAAGGGACTATAATTTCGAACATACTTTTGAAGGCTCATCTCATTAACATATTAGATGTTGCCAGCAACATTTATTAAATTTAGCAATTACAGAATGTCTGCCATATGACATTACATTTTTAACATGTCATTTATGTAAAAACAGAGAAAATCTACCATACTCACTTTTCCGTAACAGTATTTGCTGCACAGTCATGTCCAAGGTTTTCTATGAAGGTCTGTACATCCTGAATAAGTCTTTCCATAAAAAACATTTGATAAAGAACAACAGGTTTTAAATAGAAAAAAAATTAAATCCCCAAGGTTAAAGTTAACTAATAAGTTATAATCTCCTAATTGAAAAAGCCTCAAAACAGAGATAAATCTACACCCGAGCAGGCACTTAATACAAGTTGAAATAATAGCATCTTTTACCTTTGATCACGCCTAAACACAGTTCCAAATGTACAAGCCTCAAGGATAAGTTCACTATAATTTTTAGCACTTGATAAAGATCCTTGAGACACATTTGAAGTAGACAGTATCCAAGACTGGCAGCAGTAACTTATCAGTGTATTGAAGACTCCAGTTTTTACAGCAGACATTTCAATTATCTTGTACATAATCTGGAATAAAATACAATGATCATTTTATCCTTTGATTTAGTTTAAAAAAATTAGTGCTGCTAAAAAGTTAGTTTCAACATAATCATGGTTTAAAAAATAATTCCTTATTGTTAGAATAACTTTGCAAGGTGATCAATAATCAGAGAATGCTCACTATTTCATCTCTTGGTAATAAAAATAAGTAAGATTTTACTGATAGTGATATGCATATAGAACTCTTCAAGAGGAACAACTGCCCAAATCAGTAGACTCAAAGGGAAAAAAAACACCTCACCCTGAACACATTTCAGTTTCCTTTGTCTGCATTTTGCCAGTGGCCTTCCTTTGAGGCAGCAAAGACCCGTGACTTGAAGTATGTACTATGGGGCAGAAAAAGACCAAGAAAGGCAGCACAGGACTGCAGAGAAATAACAGAATCTGACTCTCCTCATTCCCCTTGGGATCAGGAGGTACACTGGAATTCCACCTTGGTAGAATCCCTACTGTCTCAGTGGCTGCAAATGAAAACACCTCTAGAAACCAGCAAGACCTTTTGGTAAGAATTACAGTTGGAAAAATATTTCTCTACAAAAAAAAAAAAAAAAAAAAAACCCAGCTAAAGTGCAATGACAAACGGCACCCGACATTTGCCTGCAAGATCTAGGGGAAATGAGACTGACTGCGGAAAGAGCATGCCAACTACTGCGACTCAACCCAGCAATCAAATCACACCTTCTCGGAGGAATGACCAGTGTTGGTAGATTATCTCAGTTTCCAAGAGAAGGAGAAATCCAGTTTTTCATATAAATTTCCTAACACTTATTTTTTTGAGACAGAGTCTTGCTCTGTCGCCCAGGCTGGAGTGCAGTGGCATGATCTCAGCTCACTGCACTGCCTCCTGGGTTCAAGTGATTACAGGCATGTGCCACCACATCCCGCTAATTTTTGTATTTTTAGTAGAGATGGGGTTTTTCCATGTTGGCCATGCTGGTCTCAAATTTCCGACCTCAGATGACCCAGCTGCCTCAGCCTCCCAAAGGGCTGGAATTACAGGCATCAGCCACCACACCCGGCCAGATGTCCCAACAATTAAAAGTTGCCAGCTAATCAAAATTTTAAACACTGTATGAACCAAATAAGCCCTTTCTGAGGGCAGATGTGGCTCCAGACTACTGTTTAGTACCTTCTCTTCTACATCTGTCAGATTTTCTCATTCTTACTCGATATTTAAGAAGGTTCAAAAATATTTTCTGACTGAAGGAATTAAGAACCAAAACTCTAATTACAAATATAACTCATGTTTTCCTCATGTGCTGAAGCTCGCACACATGAACAGAAAAGCAAAAAGAAAAATAAAGTTTGTTACCTCTTTTATTTTGAAATATGCCTGGCCCTTGATTTTGGCAGCAATGCTAAGAACTTTGTTATCAAAAACAAACTGAACGAAAGCTTTCAAATTAGGCCAGAATATCAGCTGAGTGTTGCTTAAAGAAGATATAATTTTCCAAGCCATGTCAAAAGACTCTATGCAGAGTGATTCAGAGGAGGTCAGAAGCTGGCAGGGGAAAAAAAAAATACATACTTTATTCCAAAACTTTGTTCGCCACTCCTGTAGTTACTCTTCAATTTATGTTTCACTCTATCTTACCTTGGGAACCAACACTTTCATGCAATGGAACACCGGTAAAACTTGATCAGAAGAAAGAACTGTGAGGGCTTCCAGTGCAGACTGCAAAGTCCTTGCTGGCATCTGAACAGCAGGTAAAAATGGTTCCAGAATTTCACTCCCTGTGGTTGGTATAAGGGTGTGATATTTTTTCAACAAGAAAGAGAGGCACACCCACTGATCATGAATATACTGTGCAACTATTTTTCCCCATCCTTGGGAAGATGATGATTCTTCCAAAACACTGAAATTAAAAAAACAACACTGAAATAAAGCTACTAGGCCATTCTTCCCCAATTTGCCCCCACGACTTTTGCATGTAGCACACTATCCTTCTAAAGGTGCGAGTGTACAGATATAAACGGTCATTATCCAACAGGCTATCTACCAAAAACTAAGGAAACCCCATAAACCTTAATTTTCTAACTTCTCTGAAAGTAGGCACTTTTGCTCATCTTAAATGATTCAGTGAGAACTAGACGCAGAAAAGTCAGCAAGTCTCCAGTAACAGAGATGAGTAAGGTATACTACACTTTCATCCTGAATGGAGCTTCAGCTCCAGAATTCTAGAACTCTATAAGCAACATTGGGCAATCATGAGCCCTGATGACAACAAGAGGAATGGCTTCTTAAGCCTTAACCTCCCCTGTACCTGCTGCACTCCGAGCGGTGAGCATAGCTGCTCTGCTCCTCTGCATGGGGCTTCTGCAGTGTCTGATTGAGCTGAAGAGAGGAAAGGAAGCTTTCCATGGGCCCAGCATGGAGAGAGTCCAGCTGCAGCTCAGGCTTCTGGTCTATGGCCTCACACACCATGGCCAAGGCAGCCATGCTCACTACTCTCTGAATCTGACTTCCAAGCGTTGGCTCCTGAAAAGGAAATGTAACAGTGATTTACTTAACCTGCACAAGTCTGCTCCTGAAAAGGAAATGTAACAGTGATTTATTTAACCCGCACAAGTCTGCTCCTGAAAAGGAAATGTAACAGTGATTTATTTAACCTGCACAAGTCTTAATCAGTAAGGACCTGAGTTGCCAGTCTACGGAAAGCTCAGGCTCTCTTTTTCCCTATTCCTCCTGCTTCTGAGTATCAGGAGAAATGAAAGGAAATACAGCACACATCATTCACTTTCACTACTTCTCTATAGATTGGGAGTGAACAATTTTAAAGTGGCAATAAGAACTCAGCAATTTAGGTTAAGACAACAATGGGATCTTTTCATTTGGTAAACAAGTACCTGGAACTAGTACATGACAGATTTGCTACGTAAGTCCTTCTCAACCTTTCTCCTACTCACATACACATTTGCATGCAGCATTCCTGTGGGTGAGCCTTATTTTAACTGTCTGCTGAAACATGTTAAAAAAAAAAAAAAGGCTCCATGTTACAAATAATTCCTTCAATCGGCTGCACACTACTTTTGGAGAAGTCACATAGCCCAGCAGTTAAGAGCTGGACACAGGAACCACACAGCCCAGGTCTGCTTCCCAGCTCTGTGCTACTACCAGTACGAGGGTAGACATACTACACATTAGTTTTCTCATCTGTAAAATGGGGACAGTAACAGAATTTACTTCATGGGGTTATTGTGAAGATTAAGTACATGGGGTATTGCACGAAAACACTTGGAACTCTACCTGTAGGAAAGGAGGGTAGCCAAGACAGCCAGGTCTACACTTAAAGAGAAAATCAACAATCTCTCACCAAGCCAGGAGTGCAGGCAAGAAGTCAGACACAGAAAACAACAGCACTGAGAGATTACAGCAGCAGCTCTCTCAAATACTGCCAACCAGTAATGTCTCTAGAAAGGGAATCTCTACTTATCACACACTCTTCCCTCACTCTCCAAAAATAAATTAACCATCTCTACAGAAAAATTTTACCTATCAACACTGCCAACATATAAAATAGAATTTAGTTTTACCTTTGAGCCAACTATGGTCCTTGCTAACCTTAACGTAATTTAGTGAATTACTAAAGGAAGCCGACTTTTAAGAATAAGAGTTACTGTGGCATGGCTCACGGTTTTGTTCTACATTTAGAACTCACAATGTTCTTTCATTTCCTTTGCTGAAATAGTAATCATCTTCTTGATCATTTCCTTCTAGGCTAATACAATTAAATTATTAAAGCAATCAAGTACCTTCTTTGTTTTTCTCAGTAGCCTGGACTAGCTGAGTTCAACTTTATTAAACACTTACCACATATTAAGTGGAAGTGGCTAACCTTTATTGAGAACTTCCTACGTGCCAGGTACAGGTCAAAAGATTTAACCTATCTGAGCTTCCTTTAATTCCCACATCAGTTCTTTAATCCCCATTTTGCAGGTGCAGTAAATGAGACACAAAGAGGTTAAATAATTTGGGTCACACAGTTAGCAAAAATAAAGCCAGAAGTAAAACCCAGCAACTCTAATTCCAAAGCCTGTGCTCTTCATTACTAAGCCTTATTGCGCTATGTTTAAGAAATGCCTTGGCTGGACACAGTGGCTCATGCCTGTAATCCCAGCACTTTGGGAGGCTAAGGAGGGCAGAGCACCTGAGGTCAGGGCAGAGCACATGAGGCCAGTCTGGCCAACATGATGAAACTCTGTCTCTACTAAAAATACAAAAATTAGCTGAGCGTGTCGCACCTACCATCCTAGCTACTCAGGAGGCTGAGGCAGAAGAATCGCTGGTTGCAGTGAGCTGATAGTACCACTACACTCCAGCCTGAGCAAAAGAGTGAAACTCCATCTCAGATTTTTAAAAAGGAAAGAAAGAAAGAAATGCTTTGTGGCCAGGTAAGGTGGCTCACCCCTATAATCCCAGAACTTCAGGAGGCTGAGGTAAGCAGATCACTTGAGGTCAGGAGTTTGAGAACACCCTAGCCAACATGGCAAATCTGCATCTCTACTAAAAATACAAAAATATTATAGCTGGGCATGGTAGTACATGCCTGTAGTCCCACCTACTTGGGAGGCTGAGGCAGGAGAAGTACTTGAACCTGGGATGCTGAGACTGAAGTGAGCCAATATCATGCCACTGAATTCGGTGTGGGTGACAGAGTGAGCCTCAGTCTGAAAAACAAAAAAATCTAGGAAAAGATATGTATATATATATACATTCCTCCAAAAACAAGAAAGATGGAAATACACACTGTAACTAAGGCATAAAAAGCAACAGGAAAATGAAGGTGAATGAGATACTAATCAAAGAAGAACCTCTTAGAGAAAAGAGATCCCAGTTGGTCCACAAAGGAGGGACCAGATGCTGCCGAGTGTATACTGGAAGAGAGGGCACTCATTCTCCATGGAGGGACCAGACTGAACGACAGCCTCGATGAGGAAGATATGACACGTGCTTGTGATCTGTAAAACTCTATGCAGCCTCGAGTGGTTGCAATGTTGTGGCACTGTAGCAAGGAGGGGAAAGGCAGTGGACAGTGGACAGGTAGGCTAGAAAATGTGGTAGGAAGCCAAGCGTGGAGGGCTCTGATGTCAGACTAATAAAATGTCCTGTACCGGACATGCTTGGGCAAAAGACCTAGCACAGGTCAAATGTCTACATCTAAAGGGTTTTAAGATCGATGCCTCTTATATGTTTAATATTACATTAAGAGTAGCACCTGTAATCCCAGAACTTTGGGAGGCCGAGGTGGGTGGATCACAAGGTCAGGAATTCAAGACCAGCCTGGCCAACATGGTGAAACCCCGTCTCTACTAAAAACACAAAAATTAGCCAGGCGTGGTGGTATGCGCCCATAATCCCAGCTATTCAGGAGGCTAAGGCAGGAGACTCGCTTGAACCCAGGAGGCAGAGGTTACACTGAGCCGAGATCATGCCAGTGCACTCCAGGCTGGGTGACAGAGCAAGACTCCGTCTCAAAAAAAATAAAAAGAAAAAAAAGAGTATCAATTTTAACCACATCTTATCACCAGAGGGTATTATTTTAAATCTGAATTTTAGTAAATGCTTTGTATGGTATCAAAATAACGTTTACAACTGAATATGTATTCCCTGTATACCTTATTCAAGATAACTACAAATCTTGAATCAAAGAGACTTACCTGTCCACTGTCTATCTCTTGAAGATGCTGAATGGATGCATTTTTCAAAAGAGAAATAACTCTCCAAATAGGGTTACCCCTTTTCCACCCAACTTTCAAATGCAGATTTATAAGCTCGGTTAACACCATCAGGTATAAATGGCAACGATCCAGATCTGAAACCTAAAACAAGGATTAAAACACTTATGGGTACAAGCAACGTCCATGATTTTCACAAAACTACAAGCTTTCAGGCAGGAAAGGTTTACTTAAAGGACTACGACAAGACACTGAGGAGAAAATAAGTCCGTTTCTCCAAGCAGCCTTCCATAACCTCCCATGCAGAGCTAAGGACTTCCTTCTCTGTGCTTCCACAGTGACTGTGCACTCAGCACAATTACGGTGCATTTCACAATTGAGTCATCTGTCTCCCCACCTGTGAGGGAGACCTTAGATGGCAGAAATTACCATCTATCAATTCGTACATCCCAAGGTGAGTACATCAAAAATAATAGCGGTAATGGTTATAGCAATGACTACTTCCATTGTTTACAAAAATCACTTTTCACAAAAAAAGTCACTGTCCCACTTTCGTAAGACAACTAAGTTTCAGAGATGTTAAACAACTTTCCCAATAGCTCAGAGCCAGTAAGAGGGACAGCATTAAATGCAAACTTTTTGACTCATGCACCCAGAATAAAATGGATTCAGCTTTATTATTCACTAGCTGTGACATAGGACAAGTTATTTAACTCTTCATTACTAAGCCTCATTGTATTAAGGCCTCATAATCCAGGTGGGGAGACAGATGACTCTATTGTGAAATGTGCCATAATTCTGCTGAATGCACGGTCACTGCCTAACCTTGTCCTTGACTGTAACATATCATCACATGGTTTGGAAAGCATCCATTATGTTTATGACAAAACAGTCACTGACAACTTGAGCAAGAGCCATTTCTGTGTTGTATTGGTGAAAATAATGAAAGAAAAGAAAAAGTAAGTTATTCCAAAGAGTACTTACCCTATTCAGCTCATTCGTGGTAAGTCTTCTGAGAATAAACTCAGAAATGCTCTCTGTAGTAGACATGACAAAGTTCTGAAGAACAGTAAACACCTCATCTGTATGGGGGAAAAAAGCATGTGACTAAAATGATAGCAGTTCTTCGGTACAAAACACACCAGATATTCTAGTAAATGTACAACTGGGCTAAGCACATGAGTGAGTCACTTGCCAAAAATAAATTGCAATAATATAATAATCATTCATCTCATGGGGAAATCTATACTTAATCTTAAAAGTCACGTAGGAGTCCCAGTTCAGGGTAGAATGAATCAGGGACACTCTTCCCTCCACCACTGAATACAGCTATAAAGCCTGGACAGAATGCACAAAGCAGGTATTTGAGAACTCTACAAGGAAGAACTAGCAGGTAGATTCAGAGAGAAGTAACACTGAACAGTGATCAATTTACTAATGCCCCCCCCCAGGTCCTCCTCCCATCTGACTGTAGCCAGATGCAGCAGCAGTCAACAAGGTGCACAGTAGAACAGGCACCAGCTTTCTGGTCAGAGAACGAAACAGAAGAACTCCAGGAGAGCAGACTGTGAACACTGAGGAGATTCCAGAGAGGGAGGGATGCAGGAAAGCAGCCTCAGAACGCTGTTTCTGAACTCCTGGGCTCACCTCCAAGCTGCACGTGCATGGATCTGATGCTAATCAGCATGCCACAGACTTTCAGGACTGAACACACAGAGTCGCCACTGCCCCGGTCCCAGAGTGGCCAACAGATGGAACACACGTGGCATAGGTCCAAAGAACATGGCAAAAAGGTGAAGACAAAACTGACAGCAGAACCAGCACCCATGGAAGCTAAGTCAGAACGCGAGGCCTCAACTTAACCAGGCTGACTGTGTGCTGCACAACAGCATCAACATTCTCCACAGGATTTAAACAAGATTCGGAGTTTCATATTGTAATATTCAAAACAGCTAGGATAGAATCCAAAATTACTAAACATATGAAAAACCACAAAAACCCCCCGATCATATGGAAAAAATCTAGAGATAACACCAACAAGATGACTCAGGTATGAGAATGATTTGACAAAAATAATTAAAGCAGCTCTAATAAAAATAAGATGACAGACCTAAACCAAAACTTAAGTAATTACATGAAATGCAAATGAGCTATACCAAAATGATAATTAGAGACGTCAAGGTTCCTCTCTCTGTAATAGATACAAGGAATAAACAGAAAATCACCACAGATATAGAACTGAAAAACAGCATGAAAACTCTTGAATAGAACTGACATTTATTCAACATGTCAGCCACTAGTAAAATAATGTTCTTTTCCAGTGTACATGAAACATTCACCAAGACAGACCGTAGCCTACACAATCTTCAAAAATTTTTTTAAACTGAAATCATACAATGTATGCTCTGTGACCACAATATAGTTAAATTAGAAAGCCATTAGAGAAAGACAATAGAAAAGTCTCCAAAGATTATCTAAATAATTCATAGGTCAAAGAAAAAGCTTCAAGCAAAGTTAGAAAATACTTTGAACTGAAAATGCAACATACCAAAATTTGTGGGATGCGGTTAAAGCAACACTCGGAGGAAAATTTACAGCACTGTCACTTCAGAAAATAAGAAACGTCTAAATGTCAATAATCTAAGCTTCTACCTTAACCCTAAAAGGAAAAAAAAGGCAAAATAAACCAAACACAAGCAGAAAGAAGCAAACAAAAAACAGAAATCAATGAAATTGACAAAAAAAAATCTATAGAAAAACAATCAATGAAACCAAAGCTCGTTCTTTGAAAGGTCAATAAAATAAACCACTAACAAGACAGAGAAAGAGAGAGACAGAGGAAAAGAGAGAGAGAGAGCACACGAGTAAGCACGCGCGTGCACGCACACACACACGCACACATTATCACTATAAGGAATTAAAAAAGGAGCTATCACTACAGACCCTACAGGCATTAAAAAGGTAAGGGAATACTACTGACAATTATACTGTCCCTATTCACAGATGATATTTACAAAGAAAATCCCAAGGAATCTTCAAACAAATTCCTAGAATTAATAAGTTCTTCAGCAAGGTCACAGGATATAAGGTCAACATACAAAAATGAATCATATTTCTATATATTAGTAACATACAGTTAAAAATCAAAATTTTATAAACTATCATTTACAACACCTTTTTATAACCATTCCCCTCAAAATAAATAGTTATAAATCTCACAAAACCTGTATAAGATCTATATGCTGAAAACTATAAAACTCTGAAGAAAAAAATCAAAGACAATCTAAATAAATGTAGAGACAGGCCAGGCATGATAGCTCATGCCTGTAATCCCAGTGCTCTGGGAGGCCAAGGTGGGCAGATCTCTGGAGGTCAGGAGTTTGAGACCAGCCTGGACAACATGGTGAAACCCCATCTCTACTATAAATACATTGGGCATGGTGGTGAGCACCTGCACTACCAGCTACTTGGGGGGCTGAGGCAGCAGGATTGCTTGAACATGGGAGGCAGAGGCTGCAGTGAGCTGAGATTTCACCACTGTACTCCAGCCTGGGTGACAAAATGAGACCCTGTCTCTAAATAGATAAATAAATGTACAGAAATACCATACTCGTGCATTAAAAGTTTCAGCATAAGAAAGCAATTCTCCACAAACTGATCTACATATTTAATGCAATTCTAGTCGAGAGCCCAGCAGGACTTTTTTTTGTAGGTACATATAAGTTGATAATATAATTTATATGGAAAGGTAAAGGAACTAGAATAGCTAAAAATATTTTGGCCAAAAGAATCACATTTACATATTTTAAGACTTATTATAAATCTGTAATAACCAAAACAGTGCAGTATTGGCAAAGGAATGAATACTTAGGTCAAAAGAATAGAACAGAGTCCAGAATTACACTAACACAAATACAGTCAAATTATTATTATTATTATTATTATTATTATTTTTTGGAAATGGAGTCTCACTCTGTCACCAGGCTGGAGTGCACTGGCGTGATCTTGGCTCACCTGCAACCTCCGCCTCCCAGGTTCAAACAATTCTCCTGCCTTAGCCTCCTGAGGAGCTAGGACTATAGGCGTGTGCCACCATGCCCAGCTAATTTCTGCATTTTTAGTAGAGACGGGGTTTCACCATTTTGGCCAGGATGGTCTCGATCTCTTAACCTTGTGATCCGCCTGTCTCAGCCTCCCAAAGTGCTGGGATTACAAGTGTGTGCCACAGCACCCAGCCCAAATTAATTATTTTTAAACAATTTTTTCAGAGAAAATTCACAGAGCATTCAACCCCCTATTAAAGGTATCTAATTCAATGGTTTCTTGTATAGTCACAGATATGTGCAACCATCACCAAGGTCAATATTACAACATTCATCACCACAAAGAGAAACCTCATACCCTTTAAACCATCAGGCCCTTAACCCCTATTTTTTCCCAGCCCTAGGCAACCCCAATCTACTTTCTGTCTGTATAGATTTGCCTATTCCAGACATTTCAGTTAAATTAGATCATATAATATGTGGTCTTTACCGATCACCTCTCACTTAACATGTTTTCAAGGTCTATCCATGTTATAACATGTATTACTACTTCACTCCTTCTTAAAGTTGAATATGTATAAACCACATATTATCCATCTACCCATGTACTTTGGATTTTTTCCTTCCTGGCCAATTAATTTTGGCCAAAGTACAAAACAATTCAACAGAGAAAAGATATACTCAGTCTCTCCAACAAATGATCCTGGTGTAACTACACATCTAAAGGCAAAAAAAAAACAACCTACCCTTGACTAAACCTTACACCTTAAAAATTAACCCTAAATATATCATAAATCTAAAAGTAAAATAATGAACTATAAAGCTTTTAGAAAAAAGGGAGAAAATCCTATATGACCTGGGGCTAAGGCAGAGTTCTCAGTCATAATACCTATCGCATAATCCATAAAACAAAACAAAAATAAACTGGATTTCATCAGAATAAAAACTTTTGCTCTGCAGAAGATACTATTAAGAAACTGAAAAGATAAGCTGCAGAGAAGAAGAAAATATGTGCAAACCATGGATCTAACAAAGGACTAACTAGGAAAAGAATTGAGGAGACACTTCTTAACATGCTGCATCTATCACTCTGAGAAGCGTTCCTTCTTTAAGAGATTACATACATTAAAAATGAATTTTAAATGTTCATGTTACCCAGGGGCATTATTATGTGGCCTCTGGAGTATCTCGTGAGTCACTTTCCAGGTCAAGAAGCCACCAGAAAATGATTGGAAAGTGAAAGCCTTTATTAAAAAATTAAAAACTATAACCAACGAATATGGGAAGAACAGAATACTCCTGTCTTCCACATTCCAAAACAGTAGGTACTACTCTTTTGCCTTTTCCTTCTCCTATACGTATAGTCAACTCCTTAAATACTGAACTTACATTAACAGCATAAAATGATTTACTTTCCTCATATACAATCGAACTCCTTCAATTAAAATAAATTTGAGATTTCAAGGGAAAGCCTAGGCCTTGGAGAACAGAGAACAAAACGGCATCAAGAAAAATAGCTGCCATCAAGTCATCCAATGTTATCGTCCCTCCCACAGAGCCTCCTCTTCATTACCGCAATACAGAAGAGCCTCTATTTCACCCTCAAGGTACATCCCCTGGTCACTGCCACATCTTGGAATTTAACACCCTGTCACAATATACAAACTGTGAGCAAAAGTTCAAGCCAGGATAAAAATTATGCTTTGGTTTCCTCCTCTATGCCTCATATAATTTATAGTAGTAAACTGAATCCCTAAAGAAGTGGTACCAGAATTAGTCAAAAAGTGATCACCGTCAAACTCATGATGAGGTACCACTTTATACCCATTAGGATGGGTATTATTTTTAAAGGCCCATTAACAAGTGTTGGAGAGAATGCGGAAAAACTGGAACCCTCGGGCATTACGGGTGAAAATGTAAAATGGTGCAGCCACTGTGGAAAAGCGTATGGCAGTTACTCAAAAACTTAAACAGAATTATCATATGATACAGAAATTCCACTTCCAAAAGCATTAAAAGCAGAGACTCAAACAGGTATT